GGTGGGAAGGTGATCGTCTATAATGTTGGGTGGGGTATGGCTATTCTATGGTGGAGTATGGCTGTCCTGATGTGGGGTATGGCTGTCCTGAGGTGGGGTATAGCTGTCTTAAGGTGGGGTATAGCTGTCTTAAGGTGGGGTATAGCTGTCTTAAGGTGGGGTATAGCTGTCTTAAGGTGGGGTATAGCTGTCTTAAGGTGGGGTATAGCTGTCCTGAGGTGGGGTATAGCTGTCTTAAGGTGGGGTATAGCTGTCCTGATGTGGGGTATAGCTGTCTTAAGGTGGGGTATAGCTGTCCTGAGGTGGGGTATAGCTGTCTTAAGGTGGGGTATAGCTGTCCTGATGTGGGGTATGGCTGTCCTGATGTGGGGTATGGCTGTCCTGATGTGGGGTATGGCTGTCCTGATGTGGGGTATGGCTGTCCTGAGGTGGGGTATAGCTGTCCTGAGGTGGGGTATAGCTGTCTTAAGGTGGGGTATAGCTGTCCTGATGTGGGGTATGGCTGTCCTGATGTGGGGTATGGCTGTCCTGAGGTGGGGTATAGCTGTCCTGAGGTGGGGTATAGCTGTCCTGATGTGGGGTATAGCTGTCCTGAGGTGGGGTATAGCTGTCTTAAGGTGGGGTATAGCTGTCTTAAGGTGGGGTATAGCTGTCTTAAGGTGGGGTATAGCTGTCCTGAGGTGGGGTATAGCTGTCTTAAGGTGGGGTATAGCTGTCCTGAGGTGGGGTATAGCTGTCTTAAGGTGGGGTATAGCTGTCCTGAGGTGGGGTATAGCTGTCTTAAGGTGGGGTATAGCTGTCTTAAGGTGGGGTATAGCTGTCCTGATGTGGGGTATGGCTGTCCTGAGGTGGGGTATAGCTGTCTTAAGGTGGGGTATAGCTGTCTTAAGGTGGGGTATAGCTGTCCTGATGTGGGGTATAGCTGTCCTGAGGTGGGGTATAGCTGTCTTAAGGTGGGGTATAGCTGTCTTAAGGTGGGGTATAGCTGTCCTGAGGTGGGGTATGGCTGTCCTGATGTGGGGTATAGCTGTCCTGAGGTGGGGTATAGCTGTCTTAAGGTGGGGTATAGCTGTCCTGAGGTGGGGTATAGCTGTCTTAAGGTGGGGTATAGCTCTTAAGGTGGGGTATAGCTGTCCTGAGGTGGGGTATAGCTGTCTTAAGGTGGGGTATAGCTGTCTTAAGGTGGGGTATAGCTGTCCTGAGGTATGGTATAGCTGTCTTAAGGTGGGGTATAGCTGTCCTGAGGTGGGGTATAGCTGTCTTAAGGTGGGGTATAGCTGTCCTGATGTGGGGTATAGCTGTCCTGAGGTGGGGTATAGCTGTCCTGAGGTGGGGTATAGCTGTCTTAAGGTGGGGTATAGCTGTCCTGAGGTGGGGTATAGCTGTCTTAAGGTGGGGTATAGCTGTCTTAAGGTGGGGTATAGCTGTCCTGAGGTGGGGTATAGCTGTCTTAAGGTGAAGTATGGTTATCCTGACTTTGCTGAGGTCTAGCTATCCTGAGGTATGGTATGGCTGTCCGTATTTGAGGGTCGTCTATCCTGAAGTGGGGTCTGGCTCTCTTGTTAGGTGTGGCATGTCTATCCTGAGGTGAGGTATGGCTATTCTGGGCCTAGTGGCGTCCGGCTATCCAAATTGAGATCTGACCGTCCTGAGTTAGATGAAGTCATGTCCTACGATGACTTCACGCTGTCCACTGTTATGTTTTGTTGTCATGAAACTATCCGTGGGTTTCACCTTTAAACCCAACCGGTCGGCGCGAGTTCACTAGGAACATACAAAAGTGATTATTTGTCTGGGCATGAATCTAAATTACGATACTAGTACTTTAGAAATGTTTCTTCTTTACCTTTAGTACAACTAATACATTTATTGTCTTGAGAGTGTAAACAAAAATATATACTTAAAATGTTCACTCCCCCCTCCCCCCTCCTCTACCAGTTTGTACTTCGATCGCCTCAAAAATACAGCTGACGAACTATCTCATAGCACCAGATTCTCTCCCCTTACGCTCCACGATCGTCTCCCTTTGTCAAGTCTTTGATGTCTTGATCCTAACTCCTGGCCATGAAAACGTTAACCTTAGCAGAACCATGAAAATGTTAACCCTAGCAGAACCATGAAAATTTTAACCCTAGCAGAACCATGAAAATGTTAACCCTAGCAGAACCATGAAAATGTTAACCCTAGCAGAACCATGAAAATGTTAACCCTAGCAGAACCATGAAAATGTTAACCCTAGCAGAACCATGAAAATGTTAACCCTAGCAGAACCATGAAAATGTTAACCCTAGCAGAACCATGAAAATGTTAACCCTAGCAGAACCATGAAAATGTTAACCCTAGCAGAACCATGAAAATGTTAACCCTATCAGAACCATGAAAATTGTTAATCCTATCAGAACCAAGGTTTTCCATTAAGTAGATTTAACTACCGCTTGCATCGATGCGAGTTTTTTAACCGCTAAAAGATCGTAGGTTGACGTCTTAGGCCTCCATTTTGAATTGTTTCTTTCCGGGGCCCTTTATTATTTTTTTTATCTCATAATGCTTCCATGTTTTACACTGAGCCCTGTACGCCTTTATCGGAACAAATACCTTAACAGATTAGTGAGAAAATTGTTAGGAACAACAATAAATTTTAAAATAGTTTATTTTAACCCCTTCATACCCAACTTGTAGAAAATAAATAATGTCCTCTTTTATACCCAATCTTAACTCCCCTCATGTCTAGTTTACCAGAAGAATAAATAACGTACTTTGTTATCTTGCGTGTAGTCTAGTTGTAGATACTGGACTCTGCCATCGTAAATTGTCTGTAGCTTCACATTCTTCTTCTCACACCCCTCCCCATTCTCCCCCCCCCCCACTACCACCACCACACAACCGACCGCACCTTTACTTATTCCCCGCACAAGAAATTGTGCCAGCTGCATTTATTTGACCGAAAAAAATAAAGCCAGATTTTTTATAACCAGGCTTGCCTGGTAAAGCGTTTAAAATATTTTAACCTATTTTTTTTGAAAACATTAAATGTGTTATCTGTTGTTTTTTTTTTCTTTTCTTTTTCTTATAAAAGAAAAAGAACTTTTATTTTTCATTTCATATCAAGAGCATATTTTTTTAAAGTTGTACTCTTTAGAGAGCTAGTTGCACAGTACCTTTTTACTTTATTTTCTTTTAATTTTTTTTTTAAATTTTTTAAATTGATTGACCAAACAATCAGTTTTTTCGTTATGCTGAAAAAAAAATGTGTCAGATTCTCGATTATACTTTGTTAACTCAAAATCACGCCTACAAACGTGAGTTTAAGAGAGAAAAAAGTCTTGCCTTGATATCACGATCACCCCTATATAGTGACTTATTACAGCTGTTTATTCTCACTATATCTGTAGGTTACTTATCTTTTTCTGTGACTCATTTGCGCCAGTTCGATCTTTTTATAGATCTTCAAAGTCCCCATCTCATTCTTAATTAATTAAGAAGCTGCATTGATCCCCATAGAAACTCTACTAAAGTAATATTCATACAAACGACTGACCGAGAAAGGACGAAATGTGGATTATTGTGGCAGAGAAATCGTCAACTCTTTCACCAAATACCAAAAGTAATTTTCAAACGGAAATAGAAAAATGTAAGGGAGATAATAACATAAAGGGGAAATAATTTGGAAATTGTGCAGCTTCCCCCTCCCACTCCCCTTTTCCCCTGATGTCGAGGGTTGATGGAAATGGTATCAATTTGCGTTACAAAACCTCGTTCATTATTTGCTTGGATGTAACAGGATCTGGTTTTGTATGAGTAAAATAGCATCTATTAATGCTCGAATTTTTAGGATATTGAAATAGATTTTACTAGGCTGCGTAGGGGGATATAGGGGAAAAGGGGTGAACGAGGTCAAAGATGGTTTGAGTGTACGCGACTGCGCATGGTAGCTGGAGTCACGTGGTCGCTACCCAGCGAGACATTCCCCTCGTTGTTCACGCGTTTGCCCTTTGTGGACGAGAGCTTGGCGAGAAGGGAAAGCATACTCGGACTATTTGGCAAAGCATTCTGGGTAAAATCTATGAGTGTAAACAAAACATACATCCCGTGTTTGCCCCCAACCAATGAAAATAGTCCGAGTAATTGGCCCCTAACGGTCGTGAAATCGTTCCCATGAGGGTTGGGTTTGTGTTGAGGTGCCCGGTAGGGTTCGGTATGTTGGGGGGGGGGGTGATGCCAGGTGATGGGGTTGGTGTAAGGGGTTGGCTCTAACCATCAGATCTTCTAGTCTAGATGTGGTTGGCTCCAACCTTCAGATGTACTTTTCTAGATATGGTTGGTTCCAACCTTCAGATGTTCTGGTCTAGATGTGGTTGGTTCCAACCTTCAGATGTTCTGGTCTAGATGTGGTTGGCTCCAACCCTCAGATGTTCTAGTCTAGATGTGGTTGGCTCCAACCATCAGTTGTTCTAGTCTAGATATGGTTGGCTCCAACCTTCAGATGTTCTGGTCTAGATGTGGTTGGTTGCAACCTTTAGATGTTCTGGTCTAGATGTGGTTGGTTCCAACCTTCAGATGTTCTGGTCTAGATGTGGTTGGTTGCAACCTTTAGATGTTCTGGTCTAGATGTGGTTGGTTCCAACCTTCAGATGTTCTGGTCTAGATGTGGTTGGTTGCAACCTTTAGATGTTCTGGTCTAGATATAGTTGGCTCCAACCATCTACGTATGGGTATCAACCGTTCTTTAAATCAACATCTTTCCCCTCAGATTTTTTTAACCGTATGGAAAAATAATCTTTAACATAAGGGAAGTAAGCAAAGAAACATGTAATATTTTAAGGTTTTTTCCCTTTATCCGCACAACTTTAAAAAAGAAATCAAAATTGCCGGGTTTCGTAAAATTGTATTATATAATTCTAGTTTAAACTCTTTTACATTTTTTCACAGTATCTACTAGGTGCATTTAATGTTAATTCCTAATTACATTTTTTTTAAAAAAGTCTTAATTTGTCTGACAGGTGTACAACAAAATCCAACTGTACAAACCTGGAGAACTCAGGTAAATGGGACTCGTATGACACACTCAAGTGCCCCAAACTGCACAAGATCTTACCCGACCAAATACACCTGGATAGAGAAAGACTTGTAAGTTTTTATTTTATAGAATACAATACTACCTAACCCAAAAGTAATTTTTTTAAAATCAATCTAATTAGGTAAAAATCACTCTACTGATAAAGAGCCTTGGTCAAATTTTTTTTCTTAACATAGCTAGACAAATTTGTCAAAATTTCTTGATTTATAATTTAATTGAATCATGTATGTTGATAAAAACCTTAGGTTTAATAATATTTTTTATTACCATAACATTTACTATTGTGATATTGCTTACTGCATTTTATTTACTACTAGCCTATATATTTTTAATGTTATACTTGTTTGAGAAAAATAATTTATAAAATAGTTATTGGTGAAAACGCAATGTGCTTTAATACACTTGAATGATATAAATAACAAAGCAAAGAAATAACTAAATAGGTAAAAAATTGAAGTTGGCTGGAGAACAGCACTTTCCTACATCTCAAGAATTTTCTTAATTTTTAAAAATAATTACCTCCCTGTTGTCCCATATATACAGGTATCGCTGGAGATTCATGACCCACCTAGTCACAGCAACCTCAAGTACACCTGTGTCTTCAGCTCTCTGACCGGCACCCCCACCGTCACGGTCCAGACCGACGCCTCCGCCTCAGGCATCAACTTCCAGTGTTTGACCCCTGATCCCAACAAGCTACCTAAGATTCCTGAAGTTAAAGGTTGTTATACATGCTGCAAGTTTTTAAATTAGCTAATTGAGGATTCTATTATATATATATATATATATATATATATATATATATATATATATATATATATATATATATATATATATATATATATATATATATATCAAGAAGAAGAGTGATAGAACTAAGAAGGAATGGAAGACGGCAGACAGATAGAGATGATATCCATACATATGTTTCATATATGCATACAGAGTGGGATTTGGATTTACAACACAACACCCCTTTACATAGTCATAACTTATTTTTCAGAATCCATGGCCATGTCTCTTTCACTGAAGATGAATGGCCAGGACATTGTCACTGCCAATGTTACTTTCTTCAACTGTTCAACTCATCAATCGTAAGTCATCGTCTTTTTCAACTGTTCTATCATCAAACATAAGACATTGTCTCCCTTTATCTCCTGCTCACCAACTTATTTTGTCTCCCTTTATCTCCTGCTCACCAACTTATTTTCTCTCCCTTTCTCTCTTGCTCACCAACTTATTTTGTCTCCCTTTATCTCCTGCTCACAAACTTATTTTCTCTCCCTTTATCTCCTGCTCACCAACTTATTTTGTCTCCATTTATCTCCTGCTCACCAACTTATTTTGTCTCCCTTTATCTCCTGCTCACCAACTTATTTTGTCTCCCTTTATCTCCTGCTCACCAACTTATTTTGTCTCCCTTTATCAACTACTCACTAACTTATTTTGTCTCCTTTTATCAACTACTCACCAACTTATTTTGTCTCCCTTTATCAACTACTCACCAACTTATTTTGTCTCCCTTTATCTCCTGCTCACCAACTTATTTTGCCTCCCTTTATCTCCTGCTCACCAACTTATTTTGTCTCCCTTTATCTCCTGCTCACCAACTTATTTTGTCTCCCTTTATCTCCTGCTCACCAACTTATTCTCTCCCCCATACAGCTGTATCTCCTGCTCACTAACTTATTTTGTCTCCCTTTATCTCCTGCTCACCAACTTATTTTGTCTCCCTTTATCTTCTGCTCACCAACTTATTTTGTCTCCCTTTATCTTCTGCTCACCAACTTATTTTGTCTCCCTTTATCTCCTGCTCACCAACTTATTTTGTCTCCCTTTATCTCCTGCTCACCAACTTATTTTGTCTCCCTTTATCAACTACTCACCAACTTATTTTGTCTCCCTTTATCAACTACTCACCAACTTATTTTGTCTCCCTTTATAAACTACTCACCAACTTATTTTGTCTCCCTTTATCTCCTGCTCACCAACTTATTTTGCCTCCCTTTATCTCCTGCTCACCAACTTATTTTGTCTCCCTTTATCTCCTGCTCACCAACTTATTTTGTCTCCCTTTATCTCCTGCTCACCAACTTATTCTCTCCCCCATACAGCTGTATCTCCTGCTCACTAACTTATTTTGTCTCCCTTTATCTCCTGCTCACCAACTTATTTTGTCTCCCTTTATCTTCTGCTCACCAACGTATTTTGTCTCCCTTTATCTCCTGCTCACCAATTTTTATTGTCTCCCTTTATCTCCTGCTCACCAACTTATTTTGTCTCCCTTTATCTCCTGCTCACCAACTTATTTTGTCTTTATTTTTCCTGCTCACCAACTTATTTTGTCTCCCTTTATCTCCTGCTCACCAACTTATTTTGTCTCTCTTTATCTCCTGCTCACCAACTTATTTTGTCTCCCTTTATCTCCTGCTCACCAACTTATTTTGTCTCCCTTTATCTCCTGCTCACCAACTTATTTTTTCTCCCTACAGCTGTATCTCCTGCTCACCAACTTATTTTGTCTCCCCTTATCTCCTGCTCACCAACTTATTTTGTCTCCCTTTATCTCCTACTCACCAACTTATTTTGTCTCCCTTTATCTCCTGCTCACCAACTTATTTTGTCTCCCTTTATCTCCGGCTCACCAGCTTATGTTGTCTCCCTTTATCTCCTGCTCACCAACTTATTTTGTCTCCCTTTATCTCCTGCTCACCAACTTATTTTGTCTCCTTTTATCTCCTGCTCACCAACTTATTTTGTCTCCCTTTATCTCCTACTCAACTTATTTTGTCTCCCTTTATCTCCTGCTCACCAACTTATTTTGTCTCCCTTTATCTCCTGCTCACCAACTTATTTTGTCTCCCTTTATCAACTACTCACCAACTTATTTTGTCTCCCTTTATCAACTACTCACCAACTTATTTTGTCTCCCTTTATAAACTACTCACCAACTTATTTTGTCTCCCTTTATCTCCTGCTCACCAACTTATTTATTTTGCCTCCCTTTATCTCCTGCTCACCAACTTATTTTGTCTCCCTTTATCTCCTGCTCACCAACTTATTTTGTCTCCCTTTATCTCCTGCTCACCAACTTATTCTCTCCCCCATACAGCTGTATCTCCTGCTCACTAACTTATTTTGTCTCCCTTTATCTTCTGCTCACCAACGTATTTTGTCTCCCTTTATCTCCTGCTCACCAATTTTTATTGTCTCCCTTTATCTCCTGCTCACCAACTTATTTTGTCTCCCTTTATCTCCTGCTCACCAACTTATTTTGTCTTTATTTTTCCTGCTCACCAACTTATTTTGTCTCCCTTTATCTCCTGCTCACCAACTTATTTTCTCTCCCTTTATCTCCTGCTCACCAACTTATTTTGTCTCCCTTTATCTCCTGCTCACCAACTTATTTTGTCTCCCTTTATCTCCTGCTCACCAACTTATTTTGTCTCCCTTTATCTCCTGCTCACCAACTTATTTTGTCTCCCTTTATCTCCTGCTCACCAACTTATTTTGTCTTTATTTTTTCCTGCTCACCAACTTATTTTGTCTCCCTTTATCTCCTGCTCACCAACTTATTTTGTCTTTATTTTTTCCTGCTCACCAACTTATTTTGTCTCCCTTTATCTCCTACTCACCAACTTATTTTGTCTCCCTTTATCTCCTACTCACCAACTTATTTTCTCTCCCTTTATCTCCTGCTCACCAACTTATTTTGTCTCCCTTTATCTCCTACTCACCAACTTATTTTGTCTCCCCTTATCTCCTGCTCACCAACTTATTTTGTCTCCCTTTATCTCCTACTCACCAACTTATTTTGTCTCCCTTTATCTCCTGCTCACCAACTTATTTTGTCTCTCTTTATCTCCTGCTCACCAACTTATTTTGTCTCCCTTTATCTCCTGCTCACCAACTTATTTTGTCTCCCTTTATCTCCTGCTCACCAACTTATTTTTTCTCCCTACAGCTGTATCTCCTGCTCACCAACTTATTTTGTCTCCCCTTATCTCCTGCTCACCAACTTATTTTGTCTCCCTTTATCTCCTACTCACCAACTTATTTTGTCTCCCTTTATCTCCTGCTCACCAACTTATTTTGTCTCCCTTTATCTCCGGCTCACCAGCTTATGTTGTCTCCCTTTATCTCCTGCTCACCAACTTATTTTGTCTCCCTTTATCTCCTGCTCACCAACTTATTTTGTCTCCTTTTATCTCCTGCTCACCAACTTATTTTGTCTCCCTTTATCTCCTGCTCACCAACTTATTTTGTCTTTATTTTTTCCTGCTCACCAACTTATTTTGTCTCCCTTTATCTCCTGCTCACCAACTTATTTTGTCTCCCTTTATCTCCGGCTCACCAGCTTATGTTGTCTCCCTTTATCTCCTGCTCACCAACTTATTTTGTCTCCCTTTATCTCCTGCTCACCAACTTATTTTGTCTCCTTTTATCTCCTGCTCACCAACTTATTTTGTCTCCCTTTATCTCCTGCTCACCAACTTATTTTGTCTCCCTTTATCTCCTGCTCACCAACTTATTTTGTCTTTATTTTTTCCTGCTCACCAACTTATTTTGTCTCCCTTTATCTCCTGCTCACCAACTTATTTTGTCTCCCTTTATCTCCTACTCACCAACTTATTTTGTCTCCCTTTATCTCCTGCTCACCAACTTATTTTGTCTCCCCTTATCTCCTGCTCACCAACTTATTTTGTCTCCCTTTATCTCCTACTCACCAAATTATTTTGTCTCCCTTTATCTCCTGCTCACCAACTTATTTTGTCTCCCTTTATCTCCTGCCCACCAACTTATTTTGTCTCCCCTTATCTCCTGCTCACCAACTTATTTTGTCTCCCTTTATCTCCTGCTCACCAACTTATTTTGTCTCTCTTTATCTCCTGCTCACCAACTTATTTTGTCTCCCTTTATCTCCTGCTCACCAACTTATTTTGTCTCCCTTTATCTCCTGCTCACCAACTTATTTTTTCTCCCTACAGCTGTATCTCCTGCTCACCAACTTATTTTGTCTCCCCTTATCTCCTGCTCACCAACTTATTTTGTCTCCCTTTATCTCCTACTCACCAACTTATTTTGTCTCCCTTTATCTCCTGCTCACCAACTTATTTTGTCTCCCTTTATCTCCTGCTCACCAACTTATTTTGTCTCCCTTTATCTCCTACTCACCAACTTATTTTGTCTCCCTTTATCTCCTGCTCACCAACTTATTTTGTCTCCCCTTATCTCCTGCTCACCAGCTTATGTTGTCTCCCTTTATCTCCTGCTCACCAACTTATTTTGTCTCCCTTTATCTCCTGCTCACCAACTTATTTTGTCTCCTTTTATCTCCTGCTCACCAACTTATTTTGTCTCCCTTTATCTCCTGCTCACCAACTTATTTTGTCTCCCTTTATCTCCTGCTCACCAACTTATTTTGTCTCCCTTTATCTCCTGCTCACCAACTTATTTTGTCTTTATTTTTTTCCTGCTCACCAACTTATTTTGTCTCCCTTTATCTCCTGCTCACCAGCTTATGTTGTCTCCCTTTATCTCCTACTCAACTTATTGTCTCCCTTTATCTCCTGCTCACCAACTTATTTTTTCTCCCTACAGCTGTATCTCCTGCTCACCAACTTATTTTGTCTCCCTTTATCTCCTGCTCACCAGCTTATGTTGTCTCCCTTTATCTCCTGCTCACCAACTTATTTTGTCTCCCTTTATCTCCTGCTCACCAACTTATTTTGTCTCCCTTTATCTCCTGCTCACCAACTTATTTTGTCTTTATTTTTTCCTGCTCACCAACTTATTTTGTCTCCCTTTATCTCCTGCTCACCAACTTATTTTGTCTCCCTTTATCTCCTGCTCACCAACTTATTTTGTCTTTATTTTTTCCTGCTCACCAACTTATTTTGTCTCCCTTTATCTCCTGCTCACCAGCTTATGTTGTCTCCCTTTATCTCCTGCTCACCAACTTATTTTGTCTCCCTTTATCTCCTACTCACCAAATTATTTTGTCTCCCTTTATCTCCTGCTCACCAACTTATTTTGTCTCTCTTTATCTCCTGCTCACCAACTTATTTTGTCTCCCTACAGCTGTATCTCCTGCTCACCAACTTATTTTGTCTCCCCTTATCTCCTGCTCACCAACTTATTTTGTCTCCCTTTATCTCCTACTCACCAACTTATTTTGTCTCCCTTTATCTCCTGCTCACCAACTTATTTTGTCTCTCTTTATCTCCTGCTCACCAACTTATTTTGTCTCCCTTTATCTCCTGCTCACCAACTTATTTTGTCTCCCTTTATCTCCTGCTCACCAACTTATTTTTTCTCCCTACAGCTGTATCTCCTGCTCACCAACTTATTTTGTCTCCCTTTATCTCCTGCTCACCAACTTATTTTTTCTCCCTACAGCTGTATCTCCTGCTCACCAACTTATTTTGTCTCCCTTTATCTCCTGCTCACCAACTTATTTTGTCTCCCTTTATCTCCTGCTCACCAACTTATTTTGTCTCCCTTTATCTCCTGCTCACCAACTTATTTTGTCTCCCCTTATCTCCTGCTCACCAACTTATTTTGTCTCCCTTTATCTCCTGCTCACCAACTTAATTTCTCTCCCTTTATCTCCTGCTCACCAACTTATTCTCTCCCTTTATCTCCTGCTCACCAACTTATTTTGTCTCCCTTTATCTCCTGCTCACCAACTTATTTTGTCTCCCTTTATCTCCTGCTCACCAACTTATTTTGTCTCCCTTTATCTCCTGCTCACCAACTTATTTTGTCTCCCTTTATCTCCTGCTCACCAACTTATTTTGTCTCCCTTTCTCTCCTACTCACCAACTTATTTTGTCTCCCTTTATCTCCTGCTCACCAACTTATTCTCTCCCCCATGCAGCTGTATATCCTGCTCGTCCAGTAAGTTCAAATGCTGGTGGTGTATCAAGGACCAAGTGTGCACGGACAACCATGAGCAGAACTGTCCAGGACAAGTGGACATTATTGGATCTAAAGCGGTAACTTTCATTTGTTTGATCAGTTCTGTTCAATCTTTTTTCATTTGTGTACACAATTATGTCTGTTAGTTTTTTGTCTGACTCAAAAATCAAATGATCTCAGGTAAAATTATCTCAGGACAAATGATATAATTGACAAATGATATCATTGACAAAAGATCTCAGGACAAAACCTATCAGGACCAATGGTATCTTGGACAAAATATCTCGACAAAATATCTTAGACAAAATATCGCATGGTCAAATGATCTCAGGACAAATGATATCATTGACAAAAGATCTCAGGACAAAATATATCTGGGCAAATTATCTCAGACAAAATTATCACACTGACACAAACCTTGGATTCAAACTCAAAACTCTAGGGTTAACCATCATACTCCCTACCATCCAACCCCACAATTCCACATACTTTTACCGCATGTTATAAACTTGAACTTTTTTCTCTCAGAACCTGGCCAACACTACGTCTCTCAGCTCGACTAAAATCGGAGACAAGGAATGCCCCAGGTTCCTGAACTACGGAGGCGGCGCCCACATCCTAGTCCCAGCTGGCACATACAAGCCTGTCACAGTCAGGGGCGAGTCACTACGACAGTTTCAGCTGGATAACCTGCAGTGCCATTTTTTGAATGATTATGAGGGGATTGAACACACAGTTCCTGCGACATACGTGAAGAGCAGGGACGGTGACAATGTTTACAACATAACCTGTGACGCCCTACAGGTATTTATGGAGAAAATATTTCTACGTTTTGTTTTTTTACATGTACCTGGTTGTTTAAATCTGTAGTTACATAATCTTCTCACTTTTTTAATAAATGGTACCTGGCTAATCTAAGGCTTTCCACCACATTTCAACTTCAGAAAATAAGACACAAACTTTGTGTTAAATATTATTAAAAAGACAATACAAGAATACAGTAGTCATGATAAGTGTAAGACATTGAGTGAGTCATTACACAAACCACCAAAAATTAGATGAACATCATCTCCAACCAACCACTGAGAAATGACCTTGACCTTTGTATCAACAGTTCAGCTACATCAGGCCCATGCAGGAGCAGAAGGTCAAGTTCAACATCATCTGGGGGGTCAATGGGAGGAAGCTGGACAACCAGCAGAGCTTAGCAGGTCAGTTTTATAGTACATACACGATTTTTACATTTAATCTTCATAAGTTTTATGGTCAATACTCTACAACGATATTCCTATACAGTGATAATAGGACTGGTAAGTAGGTCACCAAACAGTTCTATGGCTCATGCAGGTTTTATTGAGCCGTAGAACTGGTTGGTGACCTACTTACCAGCCCTATTAGGAATCACATCTATTTTGTAAAACAAAACAAAAAAAACTTCAGATATTTCTTATACAATAAGTTAATGCCGGTTTGAACCTTTTTTTTAAATTAGTTCTGGTGTACAAATGTAGCGTCATGGCCAGCACTTGCGGAGAGTGTCTGACCATTGACACCAAGTTTGGCTGTGGATGGTGCAACAACAGCAACTGCGTGGCCCAGGATTTCTGCAAGAACGTCAAGGATTACATCCAACACGGAACAGTGTGCACCGACCCCAAGATAACAGCGGTATGTTTATGTAGTCTTTTGAGGTAGTGGCTCTATAACAATTGTCATACTGCTAAAAGTACCAGACTTCAGCGATTGTAATACTTGAAAAGAGTTAATGCTTCAATGACAATATCTTAGTTCTGTAAATTTTGTAATATTGCAAACATTATAATACTTTAAAGGTTTAAGTTTGCATACCTTTAAAACTATGATACTTCAAAGATTGTAATACTTCTATGATTGTAATATTTTAACACTTCTAAGATTGTAATACTGCTGTGATTGTACCACTTCTAAGATTATAATACTGCTAAGAATATAACACTTCTAAGACGAGATCCTTCTTCGATTGTCATAACAGCTATCCTAACTCTGACTCTAGCAGAGGTTTTAGCAGTTTAATTAGTTTAAAATCTTCTTACAACACTCATTTGACATTAAAGCATTCTGAGAATAAGGATTTTTATTGTCAACTTGGTTAGTTGACAGAAAACATAATTAGAGTATTGGCTTTGCTAAAACGTCTTGTTGTTTTTTCTTAAAATTTGTTTGTAATATTTTCCTCCAGTTTCATCCCACTGCTGGACCAATCAATGGAGGAACTTTGATAGAAATAGATGGCCAGAACCTCGGCATCGGCAGTCAGGGGGTCAGGGTCAGGGTCGGCCCTGTGCCATGTACAATTGAGCATTTCAAAGCGCCAAACAGGTAACTATAACAAATTTCAGCTGTTACTGGTTTTATATAGAAACTTTTATTTTAAACTTGATGAAATTTTGGACTCCCACCTGCGTTGCCTAGATATATTTAAAACTATAGATATATATAGCTGTGAATGAATGATTGCTTGATGAGTGGCTTAGCGTTAGAGAGCAAGACTGCTAACCCATACGTGTTGAGTTCAAATCAGTAGACCGTCCCTGCTCTAATGGGTACATAACGCACGTTAGGGAAAGTAAAGGTGGCTGGGCATAGTGCTGACCACATTAACTCACATTAGGGAAGGTAAAGGCGGCTGGGCATAGTGCTGACCACACTAACTCACATTAGGGAAGGTAAAGGCGGCTGGGCATAGTGCTGACCACACTAACTCACATTAGGGAAAGTAAAGGCGGCTGGGCATAGTGCTGACCACACTAACTCACATTAGGGAAAGTAAAGGCGGCTGGAAATAGTGCTGACCACACTAACTCACATTAGGGAAAGTAAAGGCGGCTGGACATAGTGCTGACCACACTATCCCAAGGTCACAGATACAGGTGAACTCTACCTCCCTCTTGCCCCATAGACCATCAGGTTCGGAAGGGGAACTTTACCTGTGTTGCCTACATATATTTAAAACTGTAGATAGATATAGTTGTGTGTGATTGATAGCTTGACACAGCTGTCAGTGTAATGATATTTTTGTTTCTGTCCTCTGACCAGCATTCACTGTAGAACAGCATCATCCAATGTTGTGATGAATGCGCCACTGGAAGTCTTTATAGGCTCTGGCTCGGAGCTCTCTGCCAAGTCCGTTTCTACCTTTTCTTATGTGGTGAGTTAATAATTTTTTTTTACTAGTTTGTTTTAGCTTTGGCACTTGTTGCGTATATAATTTTAACAACACAGAAAAGTCATAATGACAAACATAAATGATCAAGGTTAATAGTTTTTTAAATTCTTTTATCAGTTTTTTTAAGTGCCTTATAGACCTAGTGATACTTATCAGATACATTCAGAAGACTTTAATTCACTTTTTTTTCCTTTTTTATGTTGTTTAAATTATTTCCAAACCAATTTTTTTCATGTCCTTGCCTAATTAATGGCGCCAAAAGGATTTTTTTTTTACCTTTGTTTGATTTTATTGAAGATTTGATCCAACGCAAGCTTGCTATTTTCAGGTTCCAGTCTTGTCTAAAATTGTCCCCACGTTGGGTCCTGCTGCAGGTGGAACCACTCTGACCCTTGTGGGGGAACATCTGGACTCTGGCTCAAATGTCACTGTAGAGCTGGGCCAGAGTATCTGCTCCAACCCTGTCAGGTAGGCCATTCTGTGCTGTAGCTCTGTCTCTGTATCTGCTCAAACCCTGTCAGGTAGGCCTCGCTGTACTGTAGCCATGTCTCTGCCATGGCCCAAACCCTGTCAGGTAGGCCTCGCTGTACTGTAGCCCTGTCTCTGTATCTGCTCAAACCCTGTCAGGTAGGCCTCGCTGTACTGTAGCCATGTCTCTGCCATGGCCAAAGCACTGTCATACCCCAATCACAGAGATAGCCCAATCACAGAGATAGCCCAATCACAGAGATAGCCCAATCTCAGAGAGAGCCCAATCACAGAGATAGCTCAATCACGGAGATAGCCCAATCACAGAGATAGCCCAATCACAGAGATAGCTCAATCACAGAGATAGCCCAATCACAGAGATAGCCCAATCATAGAGATAGCCCAATCATAGAGATAGCCCAATCACAGAGATAGCCCCATCTGCTATAGCCCAAACACAACCAGTCTATTCAATACCATAGCCCAATCACTACCATAGGCCAATATTTTATAGCTCAATCACTGTCATAGCCCAATATGCTATAGCCCAATTACTAACATAGCACAATCACTAACATAGCCCAATCACTGCCATAGCCCAATAACTGACATCACAGACACAACCCAATCACTAGTTTCACCCTTTATTTCATGGGACTGAATGCTGCACTGTTTTCCTTGACTGATTTCCCTCTCTGTAAAACATTACCACACTTTGATGTTTATTTAGAAAATTGTTTTAGCATTGCTTCACCTAACCCGTTATCCTGTTGTTAGTTTGAGTTCAACGGCCTTGACCTGCACGACACCATCAGCTGTATTGCCAGCCGGAGGAAACAAGTCTGTCCAGGTCCACCTGATCATTGACAACTTCAATAAAAAAAGCGGAACCAAGTTTGAATATGTCCAGAACCCCAATATCACCTGGTTCTCAAGGACTGAAATCATACGGAGGTAGTTTGTCTTTCACATTTTTCTTATTTATGGTTAAACGGCATTGTATTTTGTGTATTAAAAGCAATATAACGTAGTAATTTAATTTATAATTGAAGGATGATATATCTCTTTTTAAGGTTTGTAATTATTAATCTTTAAGAAAAATTTACAGTCGGAAGTAGTTTAAATCAAAAAACAATTTTTTAGAAAATTAATGTATTATATGGATTTAAATTTAAAACGTAAATTAATAGTTGCGTAACTGTCTTTTATTTTCTAGTGGAGGGTTACAGATCAATGTTTCGGGAGACAATCTCAACAGTATCCAGTCCCCAGCTGTCATTCTGTGGTACAACAACACACCTTATTATGGGGTAAGTGAGAACACACCTTATTATGGGGTAAGTGAGAACACACCTTATTATGGGGTAAGTGAGAACATACCTTATTATGGGGTAAGTGAGAACATACCTTAATATGGGGTAAGTGAGAATACACCTTATTATGGGGTAAGTGAGAACATACCTTAATATGGGGTAAGTGAGAATACACCTTATTATGGGGTAAGTGAGAACATACCTTATTATGGGGTAAGTGAGAACACACCTTATTATGTGGTGAGTGAGAACACACCTTAATATGGGGTAAGTGAGAATACACCTTAATATGGGGTAAGTGAGAACACACCTTATTATGTGGTGAGTGAGAACACACCTTAATATGGGGTAAGTGAGAATACACCTTAATATGGGGTAAGTGAGAATACACCTTATTATGGGGTAAGTGAGAACATACCTTAATATGGGGTAAGTGAGAATACACCTTATTATGGGGTAAGTGAGAACATACCTTATTATGGGGTTAGTAAGAACACACCTTAATATGGGGTAAGTGAGAACATACCTTAATATGGGGTAAGTGAGAACACACCTTATTATGGGGTAAGTGTGAACATACCCTATTATTGGGCAAGTGAGAACACACCTTATTATTGGGTAAGTGAGAACATACCCTATTATTGGGTGAGAACATACCTTATTATGGGGTAAGTGAGAACACACATTATGTGGTAAGTGAGAACATACCCTATTATTGGGTGAGAACATACCTTATTATGGGGTAAGTTTCAGGGTTTGACTTTCTGCTTATTGATTTACTGATTTAATGCCTTCATTATTATTTTTTTTTACAAAATTGTATAAAAAAATTTTATTTATGCAAATACATATAACCAAGATAAGAACTAATTTTTGGGTTTACACTTTGAACATGACAAAAATGAGATAAAAAAATGTTTGTTTGAACAGAATTGCACCAACATCTTGAAGACCAACCTGACTTGCATCACCCCAACCATCTCCGGCCTGAGCCAGACTACAGAGAACAGCGTGGATGTGCACATTGGCTTCAAGATGGACAATGTCAAGTACCTGGAGAGGCTGCCTGATGTACTCAAGGTGTTCCCTGACCCAAAGATTGAGACCTTTACAGATGGTGAGAAGGTGCACAAGCCAAGTCTTGAGATCTTCATGATAATGGTAAGTGGGCTTGGGATCTTCATGATTATGGTAAGTGGGCTTGGGATCTTCATGATTCATGATCTTCATGATTCATGATTATGGCAAGTGGGCTTGGGATTAAGATCTTCATGATTATGGTAAGTGGGCTTGGGATCTTGGTGATTATGGCAAGTGGGCTTGGGCAAAATTATTTGAAACAAATATTAACTCTGTTTGTTAATGATAATGGTAAGTGGGCTTGGGATTGAGATCTTCATGATTATGGTAAGTGGGCTTGGGATCTTGGTGATTATTGTAAGTGGGCTTGGGCAAAATTATTTGAAACAAATATTAACTCTGTTTGTTAATTGGAATATGGTTAAGTTATTTGAAGCAAATATCAAATCCAGGGGAAATACATCACACGGTCATGATTGTGGTAAATGGATTAGGACAAATGCTTTTAAAACAATATAAACTTTGGAGGGGGGAACTTACATCAGGCTGTCAAGATGATAGTAAATTGAATATGGCAAACATATTTTAAGCAATTGTAAATTTTAGGAAATGATTGTAAAGGATTGTGTTATAGATCATGAAAAGCTTTTGGTTAACAAACTGCTGTCTACCTAAAATGATGAAGTTTGCATCAAGCTGGACATAATTTTATGTTACCAACACACAAAAAATGAACATTGTTTAAATTTTTTATCACAATGCTTTAGTCTGACATAATAAATTCTTATCTTAAACAAACCAGAAATACTTTTTTAAGTTTACCACTATGTTAGCACCAGGTCGGCAATATTAACCCTCTCTTCCCCAAGGTGAGATTAGCGCCAAGTCTGACAATATTAACCCTCTCTTCCCCAGGGTGAGAGTCTGTCAGCCCTGAAGCCTTATGACATTATTGTGAGCATTGGCAAGGAGAATTGTACTGGCATCGCCATCAGCAACCAGATGATCACTTGTAAGCCCCCCCTCACTCAGCCAGCATCCAGGAGTGGCAGCGAGTACCCTGAAGTCTCGGTAAGTTCTAGAACATCTCGAGTTTGAGGGTCTTGAAAGTAGTGATGGGTTTCAGTAAGTTCTAGAACATCTCGAGTTTGAGGGTCTTGAAAGTAGTGATGGGTTTCAGTAAGTTCTAGAACATCTCGAGTTTGAGGGTCTTGAAAGTAGTGATGGGTTTCAGTAAGTTCTAGAACATCTCGAGTTTGAGGTTCTTGAAAGTAGTGATGGGTTTCAGTAAGTTCTAGAACATCTCGAGTTTGAGGGTCTTGAAAGTAGTGATGGGTTTCAGTAAGTTCTAGAACATCTCGAGTTTGAGGGTCTTGAAAGTAGTGATGGGTTTCAGTAAGTTCTAGAACATCTCGAGTTTGAGGTGCTTGAAAGTAGTGATAGGTTTCAGTAAGTTCTAGAACATCTCGAGTTTGAGGTTCTTGAAAGTAGTGATGGGTTTCAGTAAGTTCTAGAACATCTCGAGTTTGAGGTTCTTGAAAGTAGTTCTGGGTTTCAGTAAGTTCTAGAAAAATGCTCTAAAAATGGGTCTGGGTCTTTAATTAATCAATTTAATTATGAGTTTCTAAGGCAACTCCTGTATTAATGCCAGTGAACAAAAAATAGCAAATTGGTGCCTTAATATCATAAAACCTAGAATCCAAACAATATAATGAACCTTGTAGTCTGGAATTTCCCAGAGAAAGCAGTAGTAGGTCCACATCCCTAGGTCCACCCAGCTGTGACTTGTCATTTACTTCTCCGAATCTATCCAGGTTTAATGGGTACTTAACCTTGGTTGTTTGGAGATATATGTGTGCTTACTGTTTTAGTTTAGGTCCTAAAATTGAAAGGTAATTATCTGACCAAACTAATTCTTAAACCAAAAGAATTAAGTGAGTCAATTTGTTTTTGTTTTTAAATATATTTTTTAAAAGTTAGATGTCTTTTCTGATTAAAGGCTACTAAATTCTTTTCCACAGGTCCAGATAGGTGTAAATTTAACCTATGATTTGGGTATTCTGAAGTACGACAAGCAAGAAGGTCTCTCAGAGGAGGCAGTAATTGCCATAGGCTGTAGTGTGGGTGTGGTGATCGTCTTGTTCCTGTTGATCTGCATCTACTGCCTGATCAGGTTCAGACGTAATGACGACATGATGAAAAAGATGAGGAAAGAAATGGACCAGTTAGAATCCAGGGTAGCAAATGAGTGCAAAGAAGGTAAGATAAATTCCATGTTTAATGTTAGTTGTAGAATAGCTAAGCAACTTACTAATATAATTTATTTCCCTTTATTTAACTTTCTAAAAATTATGCCTATTTGTTTTAGAATAACTAAGCAACTTAATAATATAATTTGTTTCCCTTTATTTAACTTTCTAAAAAATGATGACTAGTTGTTTTATAGTTACCTCCCTTGGAATTACAATTTTTTTTTTTTTTTTTAAATGTGTCTTGAATGGTTATTTTAATTTTAGTGGAACTACTGAAACTTATTAAAAACAGTCCAAATGATTTAATAACTTCGTAATCTGTATAAAAAAAATTGTTGAACTTTTGTTGTTTAGCTTTTGCTGAGTTGCAAACAGACATGACGGAGTTAACCAGCGATCTGTCGGGTGGCAGCTCCATTCCATTCTGGGATTATCGCACGTACTGCATGCGGGTTCTGTTCCCACCTGATTGCAATGATCACCCAGTCATCAAAGAACTTGAGGTAGGTTTGTGTCTAGGTTGTAGTAGGTTTGTGTCTAGTTTGTGGTAGGTTTGTGTCTAGTTTGTGGTAGGTTTGTTTGTGGTAGGTTTGTGTCTAGTTTGTGGTAGGTTTGTTTGTGGTAGGTTTGTGTCTAGTTTGTGGTAGGTTTGTGTCTAGTTTGTGGTAGGTTTGTGGTAGGTTTGTGTCTAGTTTGTGGTAGGTTTGTGTCTAGTTTGTGGTAAGTTTGTTTGTGTCTAGTTTGTGGTAGGTTTGTGTCTAGTTTGTGGTAGGTTTGTGTCTCGTTTGTGGTAGGTTTGTGTACAGTTGTTGGTAGGTTTGTGTATAGTTTGTGGTAGGTTTGTGTCTCGTTTGTGGTAGGTTTGTGTCTCGTTTGTGGTAGGTTTGTGTCTAGTTTGTGGTAGGTTTGTGTCTCGTTTGTGGTAGGTTTGTGTACAGTTGTTGGTAGGTTTGTGTATAGTTTGTGTCTAGTTTGTGGCAGGTTTGTGTCTAGTTTGTGGTAGGTTTGTCTGGTCTTTTTGTAAAGCACAGTAATTTTGATATTAAAAGTTTTATCTGATGCAATTTAAACATTAAATAATTTTTTTCAAGTGAACTTTCTTGTTGCTTGTTATGCTGAATCTTATCATATCAGTTTAAACTCTACTTTTGTTAATGCGAATACAATTTTAAAATGAGAATTTTTTTTTTTTGTATATAAATACCACTTTGAAAAGTCTTTTTAAAAAATTGTTAAGTTTGTTTTATAGAATTTTTCAGTTGGTTCCATATTTTTACCAGACCCATATTTTTATAATTACCCAAGATGTTTTGAGCTTGTAATAATTTTTTCCCCCAGCTTGACTTCAGGCACAGGGAGGACACAGAAAGGGGCTTGAAGGCTTTCTTCAACCTCATAAGAAACAAAACTTTCCTGCTCATATTTGTACGCACCCTGGAGGGCAACCCAGACTTTACCATGAAGGACAGAGTCAATGTGGCATCCCTCATTTCTGTCTGTCTACAGACCCAGATGGAGTACGCTACAGAGTAAGTTTTGGGTTCCTATGGCAAACATTTTAAACCAGGGGTTTATACTGGGATTAAAGCAAATACTAACTTTTATGCTTCCATACTTGTACAAATAATTTAGATATAGGGCCTTTACAGACCCAGATAGAATATTCTACAGAGTTTACATTGAACGAAAATACAAAATTTTCTATTTCCATACTTGTGCATATAATTTAAATATAGGACATGGCTACAGACCTATATTTTAAAACAGTTTTTTGCTCTATGAAAGACCTATCACTATTTTTTTAAGCTTGTTTAATTGTTGAAAGTTGATTACATGTGATAGCTCCTCGGTAGTTTAAGTACAACATTATTTTGTTAACTTCTCTTTTTCCCCACAGAATTCTAAAGACTTTGCTCGCAGAACTTATAGAGAAAACTGTGGAAAATCCTAAAGTTCATCCCAAGCTTCTCTTACGAAGGTATGCAAAAGTTTAGCGTCAAGTAATTGAAGAAAATGTATGGTATTTTAAACTTCATTTATTTGTAAGAAGTTATACAAAATAGTAACATTAATTACATTGAGGAATGTACACAAATATCTTAAATATTTAATTAATGCTATATTTTTGACCGACATATTTTGATTAAAATATTTAATTTATCATCAAAATTATTTGAAATGAATGTTTTAAATCATTTATTCAAAATGAAAAAAAAAAAACTTAATTACATTGAGAAAGGTACACAAATATCTAAACCATTTAACACTTTATTTTTGGCCGACATGTTTTCATTAAAATTATTAGTTGAACTGAATGTTTAAAACCATTCATTTAAAACGGACCTTAAACTTTGCAGAAATGAGTCTGTGGCTGAGAAAATGTTAACCAACTGGTATACATTCCTATTGTACAAATTTCTCAAGGTCAGTGTTAACATTCTAAAATTCTTGTTCGTTATTTTATGACTGACTGGAAATGTTGACTATGTTAGATCATACAATATTTTTAACCAACAAATCATGAGTTAACTTCACAATTATCAACCTTCTTTGAACCATGCAGACCTATTTATATTTTAAATATATATATATATTTTATTTTTAATTTAATTATTTCTCATTTAACCGAGAATTTTATTTTATCTACATATATCTATGATACACTAATGACATGTGTTTCTCATCACGTATACCGTAGGAGTGCGCAGGTGAGCCATTGTTTATGTTGTATGGCGCCATCAAGCAGCAGGTGTCTAAGGGACCAGTCGACGCCGTCACGAGTGAGGCTCGTTACTCTCTCAGCGAGGACAAGCTCATTAGGCAACACATTAATTACAAGCCTATGGTGAGTAATCTGTTTCCTCTCCTGACACTATTGGTGTTATTACACCATTGGTGTCACCATTCCAAAGGCGTCACCACACCCCAAAGGTGACACTACACACAGTTGTTGTCACTACACCATCGGTCATGAAAGGGTTATAAAATAAAGTTTCAGCCAACATACCTTAGGCCATACTCTTAAGTTGATCCTGTGACCTCTGACCTTGCAGGTGCTCCATGTGATGGACTTGGACTCGGACAGATGCTCCCAGCCGTCCCACCCTGTCAAGGTGCTGGACTGTGACACCATCTCGCAGGTGAAGGAGAAGATCCTCGACTCACTCTACAAGTCTGCACCTTTCAGCATCCGCCCACTGAAGGATGAGTTAGATTTAGGTACGTTTACTTTCAATTCTCTGACAGTCTCATTCATTCTGTTTTACTTATGTTTTTACTGCCCGTAGGCAGTTGGCTCACAATGATCAGCTGATTTTTAGAAATCTGCTTTGGACAATTTTGTGTTTAATGCTTTTTTAAAATAAATCTGTTTTTTAAAAATGTATTTACTAATTTTTATTTTTGAAATTTTTTAGACAGCTTTCTTTGTGTTTGTTGAATTTTTATAAGGATTCATTGTTATGATTTTGAACAATATAGTAAAAGCAGATATCTCTGAACTGCAGAAAATTATTAATCAACCTCTTACTTATAAATTATATTGCCAATAGTTTTTCTTTTATTAACACTTGCCATTTTTGAATATTTGTTATTCTTTAATCATAGGAAATATATGTTTAGAATATTTGTTTGTTTATTTTTTTTTGGGAAAAATCCATTCCTTGCACCTGTACAATATATTTTATTCTCTAATTATTTGTGGCTAACCCACGCTTAAGGTAAAATTGCTTTCCACTTTAACCACATGAAATGTTGTCTCCCTTGCTCACCCTGTTCCTGGTGAGACGCCAGATATATTTAGGGTCCCATTCAGAGATGGGTCAAACGCCTGCAGTGTGTGGCACTGTTGTGTAGTTGTCTCTTGACTGTCTAGCTGCTTTTAGTGTTGTATTGTGGTTTGAATGTCTGTATTTCTAGAAAACATTTCTGCACAGTTTATAGATATTTCATTTGGTGTATTTTACTGCCTTTTTAAGATTTTCTTTTCTTTTTTTTTTTAACTTTCTGAATTTTCAAAAACCTAAACTCTTTATTTTGAGCTTAGTTATTTTGTATTGCTCTCTTTTCATATCCATTTTTTTTTTGTCTTTTTAATGCAACAAAACCAAAGAGGCTTAACTCAACAAAAAATCATTAATGTTGAAAGTTTATGTTGACTGTTTAAGTTTTGATACTACTTATAATAGGCCTACAGGAAGAACATAAATGTAACTAATGTGTACTGATACTCAGCAATCAAGAATTACATAAGTAATGCAAAAGCCTTTAGAAAAAAGAATTAAACAGAACTTCTTGACCTTAAATAAATTACAATCATTTTTAAAAATTGATTTTTACTGTAGTTAGTGCCTACCTCTACAATCTCATATAAAGAATTTAGCAACAAATTTTTTACTAGTAACTTAACAATCTGAGGATAACAATTAATGTTCAATAATCTTCACTTTAACAACTGTATCTTCATGGATCCCTACAAAAACTATTATTATTCTGTCTATCTTGCCTAAAATGTCTGTGTTTGCATGAAAGTAGTTTGTATGGTTTGGTTATATTAGCCTTTCCCCTGTAGTCAATCCCATAATACAATCACTCAAACATAAAAATGTTGTAATTATAAAGCTGTTCTAGATATTTAAAATAGTAAAGCTAACTGAAAAGAAACCATTCCTTTTTACACCAATACTCTTACATGCTTTTGCTTTCATTTTGTTTGATTTAAATTATTTTGTTTCTTAATGCAGTTTTTTGTTATTACCTAATTTGTTCTTTTAACTTTTGTTTGTTTTCAAAAGAAATTTTAAAATTAAGTTTCATTGATTTTTTTTTCTTTAAAACATGTTGTGATTTCATTATTTCATGCATGCACATTTTTTTATGACCTAATAATTTGTTCTTTTAACTTTTGTTTGTTTTCAAAAGAAATTTTAAAATTATGTTTCATTAATTTTTTGTTTAAAACATGTTGTGATTTCATTATTTCATGCATGCACATTTTTTTATGAACTTAAACCTTTGTCATACATATGCTATGTGACTATAGAAGCTCATGGTGCATCTAGATCTGGTTAATATTGTACTTTGGTGGAAGGCACTCATCATTCATTTCAGTGAACTCATTTAACTGTATAGGTTTTCAAGTTAATTCATGTTTCAATGAAAATATTGAACAAAAAACTCACAAATTATTCATGTATAGGTGTAGGTGTCAAACCTGGTGCTTGAATACACTGTTATTTTGTAAAAGTAAATGTAAAGCTGCTAAAGAATTCAGGAAAGATTATGAAATTTAATTTAAATTTAGTTTCATTTATAAAACTTACAAGATTCCTCCAATTTTTTAAGTAATCTCTAAAAAGTTTTATATGAGAGGCCTAATCCAATATAATTATATTATTTTACAACTTTAAAAAAAAAAAAATATTATTATATAGTTAATAAAAACATTATGTTTAAATTTGACATAATAGTTTAAAAAATAGTTACAAAGAACATTTAAAATTACATATATCTATGGTGTTGGGTTTAGTGGTGTTTATATACAAGCGTAGTGGGAAGCACTCTATAGCCTGCTATGGTCACATGGGTTACTTATAATAGACATCAGTGCTAACACTGCAGAGCTGGGGATTCGTTGGTTTTAATGTAGGTTTTTCTTTTGTTTCTTGTCCCCTTTCTCCACTGTCACACCCGATTCCCTACCCTTCAACGGAACAGTATTGTTTGATCATCCGTCAGAGTGGATTGTGGATAAGTCCCACATCCAAATGAAGATGTTCCCCAATAGGGATACGAAGCACCTGGTGCTGAATGATGAGGACCACACGACCAAAACAGAGGGAGACTGCAAGCGCCTTAACACACTTAGCCACTATAAGGTAGGGTGAGATTAGAACACATTTAGCCACTATAAGGTAGGGTTAGATTAGAACACACTTAGCCACTATAAGGTAAGGTGAGATTAGAACACATTTAGCCACTATAAGGTAGGGTTAGATTAGAACACACTTAGCCACTATAAGGTAGGGTGAGATTACAACACATTTAGCCACTATAAGGTAGGGTGAGATTAGAACACACTTAGCCACTATAAGGTAGGGTGAGATTAGAACACACTTAGCCACTATAAGGTAGGGTGAGATTACAACACATTTAGCCACTATAAGGTAGGGTGAGATTAGAACACATTTAGCCACTATAAGGTAAGGTGAGATTAGAACACATTTAGCCACTATAAGGTAGGGTTAGATTAGAACACACTTAGCCACTATAAGGTAGGGTGAGATTACAACACATTTAGCCACTATAAGGTAGGGTGAGATTAGAACACACTTAGCCACTATAAGGTAGGGTTAGATTAGAACACACTTAGCCACTATAAGGTAGGGTGAGATTAGAAACACTTAGCCACTATAAGGTAGGGTTAGATTAGAACACACTTAGCCACTATAAGGTAGGGTGAGATTAGAAACACTTAGCCACTATAAGGTAGGGTGAGATTACAACACATTTAGCCAAGGTAGGGTGAGATCAGAACACACTTAGCCACTACAAGGTAGGGTGAGATTAGAACACATTTAGCCACTATAAGGTAGGCTGAGATTAGAACACACTTAGCCACTACAAGGTAGGGTGAGATTAGAAACACTTAGCCACTATAAGGTAGGGTGAGATTACAACACATTTAGCCAAGGTAGGGTGAGATTAGAACACATTTAGCCACTACAAGGTAGGGTGAGATTAGAACACATTTAGCCACTATAAGGTAGGCTGAGATTAGAACACATTTAGCCATGGTATGGTGAGATTAGAACACATTTAGCCACTATAAGGTAGGGTGAGATTAGAACACATTTAGCCACTATAAGGTAGGGTGAGATTAGAACACATTTAGCCACTACAAGGTAGGCTGAGATTAGAACACACTTAGCCACTATAAGGTAGGGTGAGATTAGAACACATTTAGCCACTATAAGGTAGGGTGAGATTAGAACACACTTAGCCACTATAAGGTAGGGTGAGATAGATTAAAACACATTTAGCCAAGGTAGGGTGAGATTAGAACACATTTAGCCAAGGTAGGGTGAGATTAGAAACACTTAGCCACTATAAGGTAGGGTTAGATTAGAACACATTTAGCCACTATAAGGTAGGGTGAGATTACAACACATTTAGCCACTATAAGGTAGGGTGAGATTAGAACACACTTAGCCACTATAAGGTTGGGTGAGATTAGAACACACTTAGCCACTACAAGGTAGGGTGAGATTAGAACACATTTAGCCACTATAAGGTAGGCTGAGATCAGAACACACTTAGCCACTACAAGGTAGGGTGAGATTAGAACACACTTAGCCACTATAAGGTAGGCTGAGATCAGAACACACTTAGCCACTACAATACAAGGAAGGGTGAGATGAGAGGCAAAATAGTTTCATCCTGTCATATAGAGGGTTCATGTTTTGGTCAGACTAACTGGGCATTGTTTAGCCCTTATGTTAGATATTTCTGTTTTTCTGAAGTTTACCAGCACCACTTTGTTTCTTCAGACAATCCAATCATTAGCCTAATTCTTAATTATTTAAGATCTTGTAAAAATGACTTCTTTGAAATTTGTACCAGAAAACTTCTCACCAATCAGGAATTTTCTTATAAATCAAATTCACAAGTTATTATTTTCATCATTAAATCCAACAAAATTGCCCCTTAAGGAAAACAGCTACAAACTAATGATTCTCATAATGTCCTCCAGATGTAAAAAGACTGTTAGTTTTTAGGTTCTTTAAAATATTTATTGATTATTATTATTATTATTATTATTATTATTAATTAAGCTTAATTAATATTAAATAAAAGTAATTATTAATATAAAAAATTTTTTTTTTACACAGGTCCCAGATGGGGCGTACGTTGCCTTACACCCAAAACAAACATCCATCTACAACATGAGTATTATGTCAGAAAAAAGTAAATATAGTGGTACGTTGTGTTTATAGTTTTTTTTTAAATTATGCTCGTTTTTGTTGAACATGTAATTGAGATTAAGATGCTGTGTAAGTTTTCATGTAACCCTTACACAGTTTGTGACTCAGAACCATTTTGGAATGTGCTATAATGCATGTGTCTACTTTCTTCTTCCAGAAAATTCCTACTACAACAGGAGTCCTTCCTTAAACAGAAGTCTCAACCCACAAGTCACAGACTCTGACTGTAAAGTTTACCATTTGGTAAGAGCTCTAAACTGGTAGAAAAAATTAAAACACCATTTCGAGTTATTTTTATGCAAAAATATGAATATAATTTTTTCAAATGAGTAAAGTGATATTGATAATTTGGCTGTTGTAGTTAGCTCATTCTCAAATAGTTTGTTCTAATCAGAATTTTTTTTTAAATGTTGAAGTAGAGAGCAAATAGGAAATTTACTTTTTAACAGATTAACAAGTCCGCTTTTATAGAGTGCAATTAGTACATCAACTGAATGTAAACTGAAGTTGTTTTATCTTGATCTTGCACCTTCTTAGCTTAGTGTAGGCCTACTTCCATAGTGCCTTACTACTGAAAAACATCTGCTTTATTAATATACGAGAAAAATGGCCCGTTGAGGAAGGGTACAACGGGCGCTAGGCTGATAGTGCTGTCTCTTTTCTCTAAACTAAAACCAACCCACCCCCCCACACACCACCCCCACCCCCACCCCCCACACACACCACCCCCTCCACACACCGCCCCCCCACCCCTCCACCCCCCCCCTCCACCCCCCCCCCCCCCCCCCCCAAAAAAAAAAAAACATGTCTACCGTCCCATTCAACGAAATATAATTATATACTTTTTCCAGTGTCCGCCCCCTCCCAGAAAATTCTACCCCCGCCCCCGAAAATTTCAAGTACCCCCACCCCTCTCCGGGGAGGAAAAAGTCTGAAAGAAACACTGAAACCAACCCACCCCCCCACACACCACCCCTCCACCCCCCCCCCCCCCCCCCCAAAAAAAAAACATGTCTACCGTCCCATTCAACGAAATATAATTATATACTTTTTCCAGTGTCCGCCCCCTCCCAGAAAATTCTACCCCCGCCCCCGAAAATTTCAAGTACCCCCCACCCCTCTCCGGGGAGGAAAAAGTCTGAAAGAAACACTGAAACCAACCCACCCCCCCACACACCACCCCCCCACCACCCCCCCCCCCCCCCCCCCCCCCCCCCCCAAAAAAAAAACATGTCTACCGTCCCATTGCAAGAAAACCACTTTTTAGATTAGACACATTAATTAGGCGGTAAATTTATTATAGAGTATCGATGAGGAAATTTCTTTTGAGTTGGGGAGGGGGGGAGGGGGGGCTCAGACGTTCTTACGCGGGGGTGGGGCTTCGCCCCTACCCGAAAAATTGTATGAAAGAAACTCTTCACGCAAACCACTTAGATTAGACCAAATTGCCTTTGTATTGAATATTTACTCGATAATCAATGACGTCATAGTAATGTGTGCACTATCCGGCTTGAGATTATTTTCTACTCTGTGCTAAATGTGTCGACGTCATACTTCGTTTTTCGAATTACTATGCATGTTTTTATTTTGCTTGTGTTTTCTCTACAGCGTTCTTGTCAGATAGATAGATAGATAGATAGATAGATAGATAGATAGATAGATAGATAGATAGATAGATAGATAGATAGATAGATAGACAGACAGCGAAACTATTATTATAGATTTAGAGTTATCCTAAACTCACAGAGTTATCCTGTTTTCTTATTGTATGCAGGTCAGACACCAGGATGTTGAATCTAGCAACAAAGAAGGAGAAAGGGGAAGTAAGCTTGTATCTGAGATCTACTTACCTAGATTGCTGGTCACAAAGGTAGTGTCACATCCTATCACATTTCTTGCTAATTTAGCTGAGTTTTTTTACTAAATAGCCCTCAAGTGTTAATATGATTTATATGTTGTATCTAAAGATGTCCTACTATGATTTATATATCATAACTAAAGATGTCCTTACTAATTTGAGCTATAAAAATGTCCTTACTAATTTGAATTATAAAAATGTCCTTACTAATTTGAATTATAAAAATGTCCTTACTAATTTGAAATGTCCTTACTTTAGGGGACGCTGCAAACTTTTGTGGATGATCTGTTTGAGAGGATCTTCAGCACAGCCCACCGAGGCACGGCCCTTCCCCTAGCTATCAAATACATGTTTGACTTTTTGGACGACCAGGCTCTGCACCATAGCATGAACGATGAGGTTGTCCATACTTGGAAATCAAACAGGTGCTCATCAGTGTTTCACCTCATTAGTGTTTCACCTCATTAGTGTTTCACCTCATTAGTGTTTCACCTCATTAGTGTTTCACCTCATTAGTGTTTCACCTCATTAGTGTTTCAGCTGATTAATATTGGCACTTTGTCGGCTTATTGGGTGTTTTGTTTTGTCTTGCTAATTTTATCTGATTAACATTGGCACTTTGTCCATGTATTTTGCATTTACCATAGTTTTAGTGAAACCGTCATTCACATTTTGTAAATACCTGATATATACTTTGCATAGATGTATAAACAACAAACAAAAGAAAAAGTTAAATGTGTGTGCTCATAAATATTCCACATGTTCCTATGAGAAATTATCCAAAGGCTAATGGAAGTGTTTACTGCTTAGGGCTTATGTTTTTATATGTAAAAATTATTTAAAATTGGTTTTTAATCTTTTTTTTATTTTCCTTTTTTTCAGTCTTCCTTTGAGGTTCTGGGTGAATGTGATAAAAAATCCAAACTTTGCTTTCGACATCTACAAGTCAAACATTGTTGACGCATGTCTGACTGTGATAGGACAGACATTCATGGACTGCTGCTCCACTGTGGAGCACAAGTTGACCAAAGACTCACCCTCGGGGAAACTACTCTATGCCAAAGATATTCCAAAGTACAAGACATGGGTGTCTAGGTCAGTTCTAACTTTGGTTTTTTTTTTTTTTTTTAGAGCTGAGCTTAGCTATAACATCTTGAAATGTTAGTTTTTATGTTTGGATTACTGTTAGGTTCGAAGGTTGTTTAGATCTAGGAATAAAAGCAAAGTTAAATTTTGAAATTTCTTTTTAATACCATGTTTACACTTGCGACATGTATACTATACATTTCTAGGAAAAAAAACTTCGCTATAGGGCCTAAGATAATAGGGGAGCCTACACACTTATTGCGGAGTTTTTTTTTCTAGACGTGTATAGTATACATGTCGCAAGTGTAAACGCTGTATAAGTAAGATGGGTTTCTGTGCAGATGATGGAGTGACTACTTATACTTTGGTAAAGATAAGGATTGTAGTCTTTTGTAAATAAAAAAAATTAAATGTGAACCATATTTTTTTGTGACAGATATTACCAAGATATAAAGATAATGCCTGCAATCAGTGATCAGGATATGACAGCCATGTTGGCTGAAGAATCCAGGGTAATTGGATTAACTATATTATATTTTCTCACACTTTCTTTTTTTTTCATTTAGTTTCCTGTAAATATATTTCCATCCCTTAGTCCAATTGTTACTGACTCTGCTAGTGCAATTTAAATCTGTTTTATATTGTTTTGTTCATTTCAGACCCACCAAAATGTTTTTAATACAAATGCTGCCTTGCTGGAGCTGTACAAGTATGTCAAAAAGTACTATGATGATGTAAGTACTCTAGCGGTAGATCTAAGTCTTTACTTCTGGTGTGCCGGGCGGTCTCAGTGTGATTTAAAGCTGTTTAATTTGTGTGCTCATATCATGTTTTTAACGTACAACAATGTGAACACTATACAACTTGTAAGACAAGTTTTACAACTTGTAAAAAGATGTAAAGGTTACTTATGGGATTTTTAACTAAGTGTTACATTTAATGAGTTACTTTTTAAAATCTCATGTTTTTGTAACAAATTTTTCTTAAAATTTCTGAGACCGGTCAATTAAGTAATATAAATGAATGTAGATAGGAAACTCTCTTATAATTCATTAAATATCAATTTATTACAAATGAAAAAGATAAAGAATCTGATAATATATTTAATATCCTGAGATTATGAATGACAAAGAAAAAGATTATGATAATATATTTAATACCCTGAGATTATGAATGACAAAGAAAAAGATAATGATAATATATTTAATACCCTGAGATTGTGAATGACAAAGAAAAAGATTCTGATAATATATTTAATATAATTTAATACCCTGAGATTATGAATGACAAAGAAAAAGATTCTGATAATATATTTAATACCCTGAGATTGTGAATGACAAAGAAAAAGATTCTGATAATATATTTAATATAATTTAATACCCTGAGATTATGAATGACAAAGAAAAAGATTCTGATAATATATTTAATACCCTGAGATTATGAATGACAAGAAAAAGATTCTGATAATATATTTAATACACTCTGATAAAAAACGACAAAAAAATAATCAGTGCATATTATTATTAAAATTTAATAATAATAGACTCCGATCATTAGTGACATAGAGAGATAATCAGATATTGTATCTGCTCCCCTCAGATCATGAATGCCCTTGAAGATGATGAGTTTGCCAAGAAAAGCAAGCTGACCTGTAAACTAGAAGAAGCCTCTAACGCAATGGACGGCAACAATGTCTGACCAACATAAGGAGACCACCGGACAGAAGCGCCTGCAATGTATTTTATTCCTCCTCTCACACACATTTTTTTAAATCCACTTTTTCCATTGAATGACTGGGTGACACTCTGGGTCCCGGAAGGACATTGTCCCGGCCAGGAATGTGTCTTCGCGTTTTCATCTGTAATAGCGTGTTTGGGTTTTTATTGTTCATTCTTTTTAATTTTGCTAGACTGTGATGTGTGTTATGAAATGCATGGGTTTGAAGACATTTTTTTTTTGTAATATACAGATTTGAAATAAAAAGCCTTTCATTTACTTTTGTATATGTTTATATATATGCCCACATATATGTAAACATATATTTTATTACATTCATTGTATATATGATTTTATAAAACTTAGCACTGTATATTCTTGAGGTTTTTCTTACTTGTACAAAATAACATTGGATTGATTTGCCCTAATTTGTATTTTTTTTTTTTTTGAATGACTATTTGATATGGGCACTTGACTGTGCTCATTTACCAGTATCATGTTTGCATCAAAGCAAGCCTTGATTTGAACATTCTCATTCAGTTTCAGTGGTAACCATGGTGACCACGAAGTGTGTCTTGCCTTTTGGGTTGCATTTGTATTTGAATTGATCACACAGCAGCCTTGGTGTGTTAATGAATGATCGATTGATTGAGAGAATGACTTGTGTGTTTGATTGTATCTTTCCATCATTGTCAGTTGTGTTTGATTTCTTGTTATAACCCGTGTTTTTCAATGAACGGGTTTGTTTGGGTTGAGTTTATGTTAACGTTAAATCTAGACAATCATATGTTAATTCACACTTAATGAAATGTGGGTTGGCTAGAACTTTTAAAAGGTTAGACTTCTGTCATCCTAAATTTCTATGTGAGGCTTTGCTTGTTTGTAGTCTCTGAACAATCTTAAATATCCGATCTTTATTTCCAAAGTGTTACCTTTGTTGTCTAGAATTTTATTTACATAAAAGACAATGGGCTTAAAAAAAAAAAAATAATTTTCTTTATTAAGCCATTTTGGATTGTTCTGTTTCAAAACTACATTTTCTATCCATTTTTCAAAAAGGAAAATCAAAAACTGAAGAAAAGAAACAAAAATAAAGAATAGAAAGTATATAGCCTGCATATTACATGCCGACTTTTAAGTACATTCATTACTATACAGAAAATAGGACAAAATGGTTGAACTTTTTTTTTATTATTTGAAAAACAAAGATTTACATAAGCTCTTAAATTTATTTTTTTTTTTGGTTTTTTTTTTATTATACTAAGTCTAAAATTTCAGCATGAAGTTAACAAAAGTTCTCAGTTTCAAATGTCCACTATGCTTGTGTGAATTGTTAAGTGCAATTATTTGTTTTTTTTTTCCTCTCTGTTTATCCTGGCAGCTTACTGGAGAGGTCAGTTCACTGAGAATTAGGCACCTTAAACCACTAGCTTTCATTTTAGTCCGCTCTATTTTCTCAATAACATCAGCATTAAAACAATTCTCTTTATTCATTACCTGTAGAAAATGTTTGATCTTACATAAATACTTCATTAGCTTCAAGATTATCAGCTATTGTTCCATATTGATAAATAAAAAACATTAGATTGTTTGAAATATATGATGAAAAAAAAATAATTTCAAATAAAGTTTTAAGAATTTGTATTTACAGTATCTACTTGACATAATTAGATAAGGAAATTGATCAAATACCCCCTGTAGACTATAGTAAAATATCATTTAGAACTTTTTGGAATTGAGATTTGTATTCATTTAGTTTCAGGACTGTCTTTTACTACATACCTCATCCAGTTGAACTTCTTAGATTTGTTTATAGCTAAACTATACCATGTCATATTATCTGTTATTATACCTATGGTTTTTCCTAGTGTTAGTTTAATTATTTTGTGTGCGTAGAATGGTTACTGTTAGTAACATGTGTTGATTTTTTTGCTGCCTTGTATGTTTATTTTTAAAACCACCAAACAGTGAATCAAATATATGCTAACCAGTACAATTTTAAGAAAACAAACACAAACCTATTTATTAAATTGTTAGAGTTTAAAAATGTCTCTTACGTTTGAATAGTTTAGTCCAAGCAATTTTAATGGGATAGTATATGAAATTTTAAAATGTACTGTTTTACAATTTTATATCAAATTTTTAGCTTCTATCTTATTTTATTTCAAGTTTTAGAGCTAGAGTATTTCTATTATAATATTTACAATTTTTGTATTTCTCACATGGATTTTCACAAGCCTGCACGTAGCTGAATACTGTGTGAGTTCTATTATCAGAGATGTGTTCCTGGTTTAGCTAGTAGATATGAATGGTTATCTCTGATTATAGTGATTGCTTTTCTTTGTGTATTTATTTACCTTTGTCAATGTATGTTTTGTAACTATTTACTTTTCTAAGCATATTTGTTTATTTATTTTCAATGAATAAATTGTTGCCGATTTACTGTAGCTCATTTTTTTTTCTTAGACACTGAATCATTGCTACTGCAACAAAAATTTTGTGTAAACTTTCACTCATTCAATTATATCTTACTCAGATCTGTTTAATTTTTCCTCTTATCTTCAAGAATGGATAACTTGTCCACTGCATAACTGTTTGAATGCTGTATTGGCTGTGTAAGATTGACAGAATGATATTGTCAATATTTTGATGTGAGAAAGTTGACTGAGAATGAATTTTTCTTTTAAGATTAATATGCTTGGGTTTCCATAATAAACTTGACATTGTTGATCCAGTGTTTTATGATGGTAAAGTTTTCAAAAAGTGGTTTTTCAAACATTTTGAGTGTGCTTTTGGTGAGAAAAGCTAGGATGTATTGAAATTTTAAAAAAAGAAAAATATAAAATAACAGCTTCCTTAATAACAACTACCTATAATATTACCTGTCGATTGTCAAAATAATTTCTTCCAAGATTAAAAACAGCAATATTGAGAGTTTAAAACAAAAAAAAAAGTTGTTAACTTGATTTTGTTTATACTATCTGTATCAAACGATGCAAAGGTCGTTTCACCGCAAGACCACTCTCAAAAAATAATTCTACAAATTTTTTAATTTAGTAATCTTGCAATAATTTTACATTCATCAATGTTTGCCAATAAACTCGCTCAGCTTAAATAAATTGATAAAGAGTAATTATATTTTTGTTAGAAATATTAAATACCAATATTTTAATTATCAAATTATTATGTGTATTTGAATTATAATAAAAGCCAGACTGCTTTAAATACTAAAGAAACCAGCATGCCAAAATTGTCTATTACTTATATATTAAACCATTATATAGAATCATATAAAAAAAGAATACCTTTACATTGTTGTATAGTAGAAAATGTTTAACTAACTATAGGGCTGCACTCCCACCTTAAGCTTCTGTTAGCTTGCCATGTTCTTCCACTGGCTTCAACTATGCTTTACTGTCTCTATGCACTAGGCCTCATTGGTTGTAGAGAGTAGCTTCCCTTATCAACTATAGTAATAGCCATAGAAGTCTAAACTATAGGAATAACAATTGAATTCTTCATTGAAACATTTATTTATAGGTGAAAGTGGATTTGACAATTGTCAAGTTGAATATAAGTATTTTAGAATACATTTGTAAATCTAATTTCTTGCTAATAGGTCTGTCTATTTAGCTGATTCTATCTTCCAGATTTTGAAAATAATCCAAATTTTGTTTCTATAGAAAATATATTAGAAATTCATGGTATTTAAGTAAGTATCTACTCTTAGATTCAGATTACAAGTCCAATGTAATGAGATTACTGTTATATAATTTTTAACTCAAAGATATATAAGAAGTATTTTTGCATTATCCCCTTCCCTTTAAATGTCACATTTATGAATTTTCATAGTAATGAATAAAAATCTATACATCTGTTGGATGTTCATAAGGTGCTTATCTAAGATAGCTCAAACTTATATTTCGTTTGGATTCTAATTTTAGATACTGTATACAACCATTGTTAAACTTTTTTTTTCTATGTGGAAATTTCATTTAAGCAATAATTAGTTAAATAAAACAATATGCATGCCTCTCAGTTGTGTGTGTAAAATACTTTAGTCTGGGTAATTTTGTCATTCAAATTTTATTAAATACTGGTTTTTTTTTTGTTTATTTTTTTTTGTTTGTTTTTTTTGCTAAGATCTGTTATATATAAAAGAAATCTTGCAAAATTCATTTGTAATGATGACTTCTGAAGTGATGTGTAAAGGTATGTGCACTTTAGAATGAACATAAAAGGCTTATTCTCATTTCCATGTAGACATCTATAAAGCACTGTTTTGTTAGTGTTTGGGTGTGCAAAATGTATTACTAAAAATGTTGAGAAAATCACACATTAGTGTTTGTTGGAATGTTGGCTAACTTTTTAATTGTGTATGTGATGAATGATTGAAAAATTTCTGTGTAGCCAAATAACTGAGCTGAGCTTTTACTTTTAGTTGCTGAATTGACTGATGTGATTGTTATGTTAGTTGGAAGATTTTGCTGGGATTTAAATCCTACTATCTGAGGTTATGTATTTCTAAAAAGATCATTTACTTCTCAGCAGAGTGACTGAAATCATTTTTTAGTATCTTGATTGCCTGTACATTTTTTTCAAGCATAATGGTTTTCTTTTTAATATCTTAACTTGGCATGAATTACTTGTGTCTTGTAAATAATGAACGCAATCAAAAAAAATAAAATTACCTTTCATGCTTAAAAAATATGACTTCTGTTTTTAAATTTTTACAATCCCATTTAGCTTACACATTCAAAGAAAAATTAAAGCAAATATTATATGTAGATATATTACTTAAAAATTTTAAATTATTTCTTTAAAATTTAATAATTAGCATTTCATTAAATATAATAGTCTAATAGGTATGTGTTGTCAAGTGGTAGAGCGTTCAAATGCTTACCAAAAATTTTTGAGTTCGCATCTCTTGCTTGAGTCTGTAGTGCTTCCCTGAGTCCATCCAGCTCTGACTCATGTTTGCAAAAGTAAAAGCGGCTGGGCATAGTACTGACCACACTGTCACTTCAAATGAGAGGCCACTGAATTAGATGAACTCAATTTCACCTGTCCCGAAAGGGTACACCCTACTTTATTTTTTTATATATATCGGGTAAAGAATATAGAAGGATTGATTAGCTTCATTTTCTCATTAAAATTTATTTATATTTAGTGATAACAGTACATTTTAGTGATTTCTCTCGCTGTCATTGAGTCCACAGCTTTCCAGTAACCCCAGAAGCTTTTGCTTCATTTTAAACTAGATCTATATCACTGAAATATTTAGTGTACACCTGTCAGCTTAAATATACTGTTTGTCTGACAATTTCATCATATTATTTATAGGCTACTAAAGAACATTGATGAAGGGGAGACATTTTTTAGCGAACTCATTGCCAGTGGCCCTTTTGTCGGGTGCCTTTTTGTCCGGCGCCTAAGTTTGCGGATGACGGGTCCATTTGTTACTTGCCTTTAGTGATCGTTTAGTCACAAGCCGTTTTGACGCTGCGTCGATTGAACTGGGAAACATAAAATATCAAATAAGTGATTTTAGTAACATAGTTCTCAGCGGTTTAAAAATAAAATGAATTTCCAGACCATACAAAAAGCAGTGAGAAATGACGATGTCCAACTATTTTCTCACTTTTCTGAAACTGAAAGTAGATCGAGATCTAACTTATTTTCACATATTCACAAGAAAACGGGTGATACTATTGTGCACATAGCTTGCAGATATGGTAGTCACAAAATATTAAAATACGTTAGAGAATCAGATAAAAACTATGTTCGTTTGTTTGAAGTTTGCAACAACGACGGGAAGAGACCCCTTCATGATGCTGCGCAATACTCTCACCCAAACTGCCTACAGATTCTGCTTGAGAGTAAAGTTCAAGTTGATTCCCTAAAAAAGGGAGATTGGTATGCAAGAACAAAAATTACAAAATTACTAGACCTATTCAGTGGCGTCGCTAGGTCGATTGTTACCCGGTGTGGCACTTCGTGTGGTTTGTTGCCCACCCCCCCCCCTCAAGAAACAGAATAGACTATTTTATATATTATATAGATCTATATAATATATATTATACGAGCCGGCCCGCGGCATAACATACGCCGCTATTTAGTTGTTGTTTTTTCTACTTTTCAGTAATTCATAATTTGTGAATTCGACAGTACCAACGCTGACACTGAAAATATTTCTTTAAAACACTATAAGTAGCTCGTTAAGGACCATAACCCCCCCCCCCCCAACGTTTAAAATCGTTTCAAACTAAATTATCTGCCCCTAATAGTTGTCACTAATCCCGGCTCTGTTTGTAAACATTTAGAGTGAACCACAGCTCACTAAGACCATGTAGGGGTGGGGATGGTAGGGAGCGCGTTTACAGCTTGTTTTCTAGCGTCTCCCAGAAGAGAATTATATATATAGATATCTAGGTCTACTTAACTAGCCGTAGCAGTGAGTGTGTTAACCATTTTCATGACTCATTTGGATGAGGCCCTTACTAACACAACTGACTCAACAGTAACAACATTATAAAAGATTATTATGCCTTAACTGATCCAGAGGCGTAGCGAGGGGGCGGGGCGGGGGGGGACATATGTCCCCGGGCACCGACCTTAGGGGGGGCGCCAAATTGAAAGTTTGAGGGGGGGGGGGTGCAAATGAAAAGTTCGAGGGGGGGTGCAAATGAAAAGTTTGAGGGGGGGTGCAAATGAAAAGTTCGAGGGGGGGGGGGTGCAAATCGAAAATTTGCTCCCGAGGGGGCCGCCAAATTGAAAGTATGTCCCCGGGCGCCGGGAAGGGTTGCTACGCCTCTGAACTGATCACAAGGGTTGTACTGTAGTATGAACACTTGCTCACTATTGTTTTGTGCAGAAAAAGACTATTTAATTTAAAAACTATTCAATTAGTGTAGGGCGCAGCTTCACCTACTTGATTTTATTGTTGCCTTGGTAATGGAAATCATGTCCAATAGAAAATACCAGACCTGTGTTTTTTTTTGGCCATTTAAACTGCAAAATTATATAAGTAAAATATAAGTCAAACTTTTAAACAATAAACGTTTACTTAGTGTTTGTTGTGCACTTGCTATGTGTAGTTTATTTATCTGACATTCAGGGTATACCGGAGCATAAGATAAGGTAAACTATTATATTAAACTTGCAGGCATTTTAGTGTTCCACCTGCAGTATATTTGTTCAATAGGATGAGTTTTCTTTAATTATTTTTAAAATTTTACCTACTCCATTGCAAGTGTATAATATTCTTAGTCTAGCTTATTTGCAGGATTAGCCTTAAATGTTATAGTAAGCTGACACTACTGTCAATTATATTCCATTTTTAGGACACCATTAATGCTTGCATGCACGAAAAGTTCTACTGAGGTGATCAGAATGTTAGTAGAGGCAGGGGCTAACCAGTATCTCAAGAACAAAGATGGCTGGAATGCTTTTCATATAGCCTGCAGGTGTTGTACTTTTTATATGAATATAAATAAACATTTTCTATTGGAATAATGATTATAGTGGGTAAATTCCAGATAGTTATCTTAGCTCACCAGTTTGAATTGCTATCATAACTTTCTCACAATTTTTGTACATCATATGCATTGGGTTTAGATAAAGGCTATTTTCTACCAAAAAATAATAGTTAATTTGTCAATATTTTTAAAAATAATCAAAGTGACCCACTATTATTTTTAATTGGAGTTAGATTGTATCTAATTTTTTGTTAAAAATAAAACCCTTATTTCTTTTTGAACAGAGAGGGACACCTCTCAATACTTAAATGCCTGCTGGAAGCCGCATCTGATTCCTGGAATACAAAAAGTAAAAATCTGCGGAGCCCATTACACACTGCAGGTATTATTAACAACGTTGTTACCTTTCATTTATCTCTGATTGCTTGAGTTCTCCCTGTAAATTAATGTAAGACAACAGCTAATTGAAGTCTACAACAGGAGTGGATAAGACCTAAAAGTAAAAGTAAAGATTCCTCTTAAGAGCTAACGATCCATTGGGCAGATGAAGTGGAGTTCTAACGTGAGTTGGGTGGACTCGGGTTGTTCCACTAACTTGAACCCGGATTCAAACTCGAAACTTTCTCTAAGCAAATCAATAAAGACTAGTGCAAGACAGGCATTAGATTAGAATTCCTTTGTGACTTTATAAGAATTGGCAACCCTAAACAGACATTTCAGAATATAGCTTAAACTGCTGTTTTGATTTGTTTAAGCAGATCTTTGCCTTAAACTTTTGAAATGGAAGAATATATTTTAGTTTGATTGCTATTATATCTTATGCTTTATTGTTGATATAAAAGCAGTGGTCGATGACTTGATCAGTTTAAAAAATAGAAAAAAAGATTTAGACTTAAAATCTTAACTTGGTTTTATAGTTATAAGTTTACTATCTTGAAATTATTTTTATGCAACTAAATAATTATAATAACATTAAAAATGCTTTTTGTCTCTAATATTTACAATTGCCAAATACAATTTGATAGTTTTAGTTTCTTACAAGTAAACTCAAGAATGTAATCACCTTAAGTTTTCAGAAATATAAGCCAAAGTCTCACATGCACATTCAATATTTGTTGACATTATTACTTTCAGCTTTGCGTGGAAAAACAGAGGTAGTGAAACATCTGGTGTGTCTATATAAAACAGATGAGGAAGACAGTTGCGGTATCACACCTTTAATGGATGCATTGAGAGGAGGACATGTTGATACAGCTCTTGTATTAATTGATCTCCATGGAGTATGTCATTCAAACTAGTTTAACACAATACTTCTACCTATAAAATGTGTGTGTGTCTGTGTGTGTATATATATATATATATATATATATATATATATATATATATATATATATATATATATATATATATAAACCACCATACGCCTCCATGTCTCTCTTGGCCTTCTCTGATTTCTTTTTCCTTGAGATTTACAATTTAGTGCCATTCCTGCGATTTCATCTGGATTAATTCTTAGGATGTGTCCCATCCATCGGCATGTTTTTTCAATTATTTTGGAAACTGCTTATATTTTCATCTTTCCTACTAGTCTATCATTTGAGTTTGTGTTAGGCCAGTGTATGTTTTTTATCCTTTGCAAGCACTTAGTTTGGATAGAGTCCAGTGATCTGCCTGTGGCAGTTGTTACTTTCCAGCATTTGCTGCCACACAGTAGGACGCTAAGGACGTTTCTTTTGAAATGTCTGCATTTGGTCTTGGAGATTTTCTTCATATATTTATATATGTATATAATTTTATTTTTATGTTAAAATTTTAAGTACAAGTGAAACATTTTAACTGTTATTAACAAAGAAATACACAAATACATTGTTAAAAATTAATTATTCTTTTATAGGCAGATTTAACAAAGGAGGATAAAGTTGGCAGGCAAGCAATACATCACATTGCTCAATCTGGTCAAATTTTAGCTCTTCATCAAGTCACTGAAAGGGGAATATCTGTCAACACTAAATCTGGGATTAGTGGAGAGATGCCTCTTCATACTGCTGCTAAGGTACTCTAAGTTACAATGGGTTTGTTACTGTATTGCTAAATTAAATCTTTAAGAAAAAAATATTTCTTTGTTTTATTTCTAAATTGTTTAATTTCTTTTTTAACTGAAGGAAGGACAAATAGAAATGGGAAAAAAGCTATTGATTCTTGGGGCAGATATTAATGCTGTTGATTTAAATGGACGTACAGGTAGGTTTTATCTATATTTTTAACCCTTTTATGACCAGAACTATGCTCACAGCGTTCACGATTTTATTGGATTGGACATTTTTGTGTTTACATCATGCAGTTTTTCTATTAATTTGATTTAATATTTTTTAGAACTTCTGGGTAAAAGCAAACGCAAAACTTATTTCTAAACACTGCTGAATCCCATTCAGCTGCCTTGGCTTAATAGTTTACCAAAAGAAATATTTTTCCAAAACTGACCTAAAGCATGATTTTACTAGAAAACTGATGTATTATTGTTTTCTAGAAATGAAAACTCACTAAAATATTTTTTATCATTGATTTTCCTAAGTAGTTGATAATTTTCCCTCCTTGTAAAAAGTAACTCATTATTATTTTTTGTAATCAAACTTCCTTGTTTTGTTAATAAATTGTTACTTAAAATCAATCTTAGTGTGTAAATATTTAAATTATGATTAATTTATATATAGGCCTATATATTGTGTAGATTTTAAATAAAAGATATTAGTGTTTTTGCAGTGTAGATAACAAAACCAGTGAAGGGGTGGGGGTATTTTGGTGGAACTTGAGAATAGTTCTGGTTATAAAGAGTTAGTAAGATTTTTAAAATTTAATTATTTTTTTTTCAGTTAACCAAATTAATTTTTACTCTTTCTCTGTGTGTTAATTTAACCACTGTTTTGAGCTTGAGATTTTTGGGTTAACATTGGTGTGCTTTACCTGTTGACCATATTTTCATAAGGAAAACTTCAAATGTGATGTGCTTTCTCTTACTTTTCAATGCATTATAAGATTTAAAATTACTTGATTATATATTTTTTACTTTGAAAAACATCTTGTCAATGTTTCCCCGCTAAATCAAATTTGAGAGTAAGCAAATGTATTCTTTAGCTCTTCATTATGCCAGTGCTGGACAACAGTCTGAGTTTGTCAAGTTACTTTTGATTCAAGGGGCACAACTTCTTGCTGACAAAAACAATCAGTTCCCTCCCCAGCTAGCCAAAAAACAAAATGTTCTGGATGCTTTTGGGATCACATGAGGGTAATTATTTTCAACCAATCAAATTTCCAGCAACTGAAACTAAAACACTAATTAAAGTAATTATTTTTAAATTAACCATCACTTTAATTAAACATTTAATGTTCTATTACTAGAATGTAACATGATTAATAAAATCTATTTTTTCCGCAAATTTATTCTAACTTGTTCACCATCTCTTCAAGAATGTATAAGATTAAACATTTTCTTTACTTTATTCTTAACATTATTAAGCTCATAACTATAGGTTAAGTTTATTAACTAATTCATTCTGTACCCCTACTTTCCTGTCATATAACTAGTAGGAAAATGACTAGCTGTTGCATTAGCCAAGTAGAAGTGTTGGAATTGTTTCAGTCAGGAACTGCTCATTTTTAAATAAACTTTCAGCTAGTGACACCATTTTCAAATGTTTGATTTTATCAATATTTCTCTGCCGTGTGTGTTTAAAGAAAGTTAAACCATTTTCAGAGACATAAAGATGAAATAATCTTTTTTTTTAGGTAGGTCCCACTCGGTAAAAATTATTTAAAAACTGCTCACAGACTCTCTATTTGTTGATGCTCCTATGGATGGAGGCTAAGGTGCCACACTTCCTGCTGTATGGAGATCGGAAGGGAAGGCAATTTTAAAAACTGTAAACATTGTTAAATTATTATGAAAAAAACAAACACCGAATTTTTTTTTTCAACAAAAAAGTTTTGAAAGACCCATAGCATGTCCTGTGAAATGAACCGAAAATTGGATTTAATAAAGACAGAACGCCAAAAAATAAAAATTCTACACATTTATTTTGTGTGTGTGTGTGTGCAGTAAACTTGAATACTTGGTCTCAAGTAACCTTGATAAGTATGTGGAAAGATCTAGATAAATGCTGATATGTCAATGCTTTGAGCAATATGTCAGAGCATGTACCACTGTCAAAATATAATGTAATTTTTAAACAATTTTAATTGACTTTGCATTCTATTCTAATCTTTATAGTTTTTAAATCTGGTAGTGAATTTAACTGGTTTAGTTATGACACTAATTCAATTAAACACAGTGACAAAAATATATTTAAATTTCCAAAACACCCTCATTGTCTGAAGGTTATAGGTGGTCATGGAATATATCTGGTTTATACATGGGTTAAAATATTAATGCAACTCTTGATTTATAGAAAATACTGCTGTGAATATAATAAGTAGTTGTTTTTTTTAAACAATGAAGTTTAGATGCTGGTATGTGTCAACTTGAGGTTGTTGAAAACCTTAATGAATTACTTTTTAGAACATCATAGAACATTAGTTATAATATATAACAAAGATAGCATAAGATGAGGAAAGCCATTAATTATCACACAACCTTAAATAGTAAAAACTAACCAACAAGTTGCAGAAACTTAATTAGCAACTGGTTACAGTAGAAAAAAAAAAACTTTTTTTCTGAATAGTTTTATCACAGTCAGTACATGACATGTAGGCATTCAATGAACAATGGCAATCACAGTAAAGCAGATTCAATTTTTTTTAAACAAATAAGCTTTTCGTTCAAATTTGAAGGTCACTTTAGGAAGAAAATTATTGGGAGAGTATTAGCATTGAAATAAACCATTTCATGTATGTTAAAAAAATTTTAAAAAAAATTAGTTTTCTTTTGAATATTCAAAAACACTATCCCTCCAAAATGGGTCAAATTATCTGTCAATGCTGTATTTTACTTAATTACCGGTCAACCACTGGACCAATTGTTTTGAGCTTGATTTTAACACAAAAATGAATGTTAAATTTTGCATGTATGCATGAGGGTGAGTAGGTTTAAGGTTTACTATTCCTGTCACTACTAGCATGGGTCAACATGACCTGTATATATTTTATATAGCAAAAAAAAAAATTCTAGATGTTATACCACATCACCTCAGACAATCCAACCAAACTTGGGTGAAATAGGACCAACTACTTGACTTAAGCTTGAAACACATGGAACCATATTTTGATAAATCAATTATATAGAGAACAACTAATGTATCAATCTCTGATAACTTTGTACTTGAAATTGAACTAAGTTTTTGGCTAGTAATCTGGGTCAAGCATGCATATTGATGCAAAAATGATGACATCAAGATAGAAAGACTGCTTGAAATCATCCATGTATGGCTCTTGCAAAATGCCCCAATGGTCAAACTTAAAGGTAGCTAATGAACACGTTTTTCAATATGCTACATATGGCATCAATTTGCAACAAATGTTATCAAGTTGAAATTAAAAGTGATGGCTATTACAAATAGGCAGCAGTAGATTTTACAAAATTTGTATAGTCAAAGAGTTGGCTCTGCCCCAGTCAAGCATTCAGCACAGAAAACTATATCCAAGCTACTGCTATTCACATTGGATCAAATAGTGAATAAAATAGGCCCTTCTGATGCGGAGTGTTGGGCCCAATACCGTCATTTAAACAATAGTTGTTTTGCGAGGTGCGATAATATGTAAGATGGGAAAACAATAATTTTGATTTTTATGAAGTTTCTTGCTAATGCAAAATTGATTGGTAGTAGTGGTATCAGGTTTTATATTTATTAATATCAAGTTTTATATTATCTACAACTACAAACTATACCAATAATATATCTAAAGCTAAAATTTTGTGCCACAGATCTATGTTAACTATAATTTTTGCCAATTTATCATTAAGACTATAGCTATTCAATATCTAAATTTACATATGAAATTTAATGTATGAGAATCAAACTGACCCACCTTGTCAAGAAATTTTTTTTTTACCTTGTATAGTAATGGAATACAGAAAAACTATTTATTTGGGAACAGCCGAATATCTTCAAATAAAATACTTAAAAAAAACTTTTAAAAAAACCACGTTTTTCTTGTGGACTAAAAAGTAGAAAATAACTATTTACATACATTTGATGACAAAAAACGTGGGTACGTTCACCATCAAATTTCCCGACCCATCTGCCCGACCCACGTTTTTTGTCATCAAATGTATGTAAATAGTTATTTTCTACTTTTTAGTCCACAAGAAAAACGTGGTTTTTTTAAAAGTTTTTTTTAAGTATTTTATTTTCTCCTTTTTAGTCCGTTGCTACACATGAAAAACGTGGTTTTTAAAAAAGTTTTTTATATAGTTTATTTTCTACTTTATCTAATGACTTGATTAAGTATGAATTGACTAAGTGTTTATAAATACACGGACTAAAAAAATCTTGAGCGACCAGGATTCGAACCTGGGTTGTCGCGGCCACAACGCGAAGTACTAACCACTATACGATCACGGCCAGCGCGCTCACATCGATTGGGGCCGAAGTAACTGTGTCTATAAGCCTCCAGTCTTGTCGGTATCTTTAGAAATCATGTCCTCAATTTTATGGTCCTTGGGGCGTAATTAAATTAAGCTAATTACCGTCTCTAATTGCTAGTTTTTATGATTGCATCTGAAATTGTTAGGCGAAAGTAGCCTACATGCCAAATTTCAGATCTATTGAGCAATCAGAAGTGGGTTAATTTTCGATGTCAATTTTAACAACAAACACACGCGAAGCTGAGTTAATAAAAACGTGTTAATAAATACAATAGAAATAAGTTCTTAGCATTTGTCCAAATTTACACAGTTTATACTCAAGTAGTATGAGAAAAACAATTATTTGGGCGTAAGTAAAGTAAGTTAACTGCTAATTATTATTGATGGAAAATAAAATAAAATCAATTTAAGTAGAACTTCATTGTGCTTAATCGAGTCAGTTGGCTCTTTACTTTATAGCAAATCTAGTTAAGATCGCAACTTTGTGAACCAAAGACTGACCTCCCCTGCCTAGAGAAAACAATAATCAGGGGAAACAACTTAGCTGGCCTGGTGATTTTGACCTCACCATATTCACCATAAGGGAGCTCACTCTTATGAATAGAACTATTTTTAGTTTATATCAAAGCCCTTGTTGGGAAATGAGACTGTTGTGGTGTAGCTCTGTTTGTTGGATGTCTGACACATCCACCTGATGAAAAACATCGTGATGATAAAAAACTGGAGCAGGCTCAGCCCACTGAGACATCCCACCACAGTCCAGAAGAGGCTTTTGTCGTATTCATCTGAAAAATACCATGTGCTCATCAGCGGAATTTACTCTACTTACATTTAATTTAACATTCAGGCCCACATTGTTGAACAAACTCAGTTTGAATGTTCTTGAGGTAAATCAAATATATTATCACATTCAAACAACACTTTTTATATAACTGGATATTTAACGAAATAATACTTAATTAAATTAAATTGTAAACGTTAAGACCAACCTTACAGTTACAGTATCAAAATTACAAAACGTCGAAGAAAAGACAAAAAAAAACTTTGCTTAAAATACGAAGAAATAAACTTGATCAAAATTACGAAACTTTCACAAAAAGACAAATAATAAAAAAAAAAAACTTTGTTTAAAATACGAAAAAATTAACTAGATCAAAATTCTGAAACTTTTACACTAATATACATTGACCAAATAAAAAAACCAAAACCACTTAGTTTAAAATTTGAAGAAATTAACGGTTATAATCAACAACTGTGGGTCATTCGACTTACCTTTAATATCAAATCTCTGCCACATCCCGATAACCAAAAATATCAGGATAACAATAAACTGTAGCACGACCAGACCCATCAAACATCCCACAATTATCCAGATTAGTTTTTTGTAGTACTCGTCTGAAAGTAACGGTCACAAGTCAATGATAGTCACATGTTGTTTTTTTTTTATCCATTACAATAATTTGCATGGCTACTTTAGGGTGACCAGAAAACAGAGCAACAGAAAAATGTGCATGTTTTTTTTTTAAATTGATAAATACAAAAGCATCAGTAAAGAATGATCTCATAAAATACCAAAAACATCAGTAAAGAATGATCTCATGAAATACCAAAAACATCAGTAAAGAATGATCTCACGAAATACCAAAAACATCAGTAAAGAAAAATCTCATGAAATACCAAAAACATCAGTAAAGAATGATCTCATGAAATACCAAAAACATCAGTAAAGAATAATCTCATGAAATACCAAAAACATCAGTAAAGAATGATCTCATGAAATACCAAAAACATCAGTAAAGAATGATCTCATGAAATACCAAAAACATCAGTAAAGAATAATCTCACGAAATACCAAAAACATCAGTAAAGAATGATCTCATGAAATACCAAAAACATCAGTAAAGAATGATCTCATGAAATACCAAAAACATCAGTAAAGAATGATCTCATGAAATACCTAAAATATCAGTAAAGAATGATCTCATGAAATACCAAAAACATCAGTGAAGAATGATCTCATGAAATACCAAAAACATCAGTAAAGAATGATCTCATGAAATACCAAAAACATCAGTAAAACTGATCTCACGAAATACCAAAAACATCAGTAAAGAATGATCTCACGAAATACCAAAAAACAGCAGTAAAGAATGATCTCACGAAATACCAAAAACATCAGTAAAGAATTATCTCACGAAATACCAAAAACATCAGTAAAGAATGATCTCATGAAATAACAAAAACATCAGTAAAGAATGATCTCACGAAATACCAAAAACAGCAGTAAAGAATGATCTCATGAAATACCAAAAACATCAGTAAAGAATGATCTCACGAAATACCAAAAACATCAGTAAAGAAAAATCTCATGAAATACCAAAAACATCAGTAAAGAATGATCTCATGAAATACCAAAAACATCAGTAAAGAATAATCTCACGAAATACCAAAAACATCAGTAAAGAATGATCTCATGAAATACCAAAAACATCAGTAAAGAATGATCTCACGAAATACCAAAAACATCAGTAAAACTGATCTCACGAAATACCAAAAACATCAGTAAAGAATGATCTCACGAAATACCAAAAACAGCAGTAAAGAATGATCTCACGAAATACCAAAAACATCAGTAAAGAATTATCTCACGAAATACCAAAAACATCAGTAAAGAATGATCTCATGAAATAACAAAAACATCAGTAAAGAATGATCTCACGAAATACCAAAAACAGCAGTAAAGAATGATCTCATGAAATACCAAAAACATCAGTAAAGAATGATCTCACGAAATACCAAAAACATCAGTAAAGAAAAATCTCATGAAATACCAAAAACATCAGTAAAGAATGATCTCACGAAATACCAAAAACATCAGTAAAGAATGATCTCACGAAATATCAAAAACATCAGTGTTGTAGGGCATCAAGACTTCCATAAAAAAATGTTGCAGATTTCATGACTTAACCTACCCGATGTAGATCATAAACACAGCACCAAATGGTGTAGTCTTGAAGAATTTCAACCTCGGATGTTGTTGTAGATCATTTAGACTTTTAACACCAGATGTTGTAGATCATTTAGACTTTTAACATCAGATGTTGTAGATCATTTAGACTTTTAACACCAGATGTTGTAGATCATTTAGACTTTTAACATCAGATGTTGTAGATCATTTAGACTTTCAACACCAGATGTTGTAGATCATTTAGACTTTTAACATCAGATGTTGTAGATCATTTAGACTTTTAACACCAGATGTTGTAGATCATTTAGACTTTTAACATCAGATGTTGTAGATCATTTAGACTTTTAACACCAGATGTTGTAGATCATTTAGACTTTCAACACCAGATGTTGTAGATCATTTAGACTTTTAACATCAGATGTTGTAGATCATTTAGACTTTTAACACCAGATGTTGTAGATCATTTAGACTTTTAACACCAGATGTTGTAGATCATTTAGACTTTTAACATCAGATGTTGTAGATCATTTAGACTTTTAACACCAGATGTTGTAGATCATTTAGACTTTCAACACCAGATGTTGTAGATCATTTAGACTTTTAACATCAGATGTTGTAGATCATTTAGACTTTTAACATCAGATGTTGTAGATCATTTAGACTTTTAACATCAGATGTTGTAGATCATTTAGACTTTCAACACCAGATGTTGTAGATCATTTAGACTTTCAACACCAGATGTTGTAGATCATTTAGACTTTTAACATCAGATGTTGTAGATCATTTAGACTTTTAACATCAGATGTTGTAGATCATTTAGACTTTCAACACCAGATGTTGTAGATCATTTAGACTTTTAACATCAGATGTTGTAGATCATTTAGACTTTTAACATCAGATGTTGTAGATCATTTAGACTTTCAACACCAGATGTTGTAGATCATTTAGACTTTTAACACCAGATGTTGTAGATCATTTAGACTTTCAACACCAGATGTTGTAGATCATTTAGACTTTTAACACCAGATGTTGTAGATCATTTAGACTTTTAACACCAGATGTTGTAGATCATTTAGACTTTCAACACCAGATGTTGTAGATCATTTAGACTTTTAACACCAGATGTTGTAGATCATTTAGACTTTT